GGAACGACCTGTTATGGGCTAGAACTTATAGGTCTTTTGGTAGGTTGGAACAGCCCGTTTCAGTTTGGAAACGACCCGTTCTGGGTTACTAAAATCACATAAAAATTACTAAATTACCCTCCATAAAAGTATGAAAATTGAGGTGTTACATTTGGCTTCCATATTTTTGTCTTTTTTATTCTTTCTTGTATATATTGTTGAAATTTAAATCTGGTTTGTAAAATATTTTTATTATTGAATCCTTGACTTGAAAACTTTGAGAGAGAAAATAGTGGGAAGATTAATGGAACAAATTTGGTGTTATAATTAAGTTAAATAACATTATTAAATATTATAGATTATAATACTTTTATTATAAAATACATAAAAAAAAATTCATCAAAAAAAGTTTGGAAGCATTAGTTTTTAAAACATATATTAAAATAGAAAAAAAAATCTGTATATATATGATTAATAAATTTATAAATATATAAGCACATACATATAGTATTCAATATTTTTCGCAGTCAAATTTACTGAAAGTATTTTTAAATATAATATATTCATTAATATTTGTTTTTGGTGTATGTAATATATGTTATGATATAAATTACAAATCTATTATTTTTGTTATTGTTTAAAATAATTTGTTTATAAAGCATATTTTAAAATATGAAACATAAATATATATTAACATAATACTGATAAACATATAAACACGTGTAATAATTTTCTATTAATTTCTATACTTGCTAATTTTACTACATGTTATGTTTAATAAATACAGTATTTACTACTTTCTACACCTTTTTTTGACACCATTGTATACATATTTTTTAAGACGAGATATGTTAATACTTGAAGAAGTAAATTGATGGTCTTTTTCTTGTAAGACTAATTTTACAATTTTAGGACTAGAAACATATCTACAAGTATCAAATAGATAATTTAACCTAAATAAAATTAATAAATGTATGGTCTTTAGAGTGTTTGTCTACCATATATTATACGAGAAACTTGTACAGTTATCCACGTGGATATAATTTCTCTCAACATTTATTTTCCACGATGAATACCGCCGGTTATGTCAACGGTGAGTCGCAAATACAAGTAAAATATAGCATTGGATAGTACTATTATTTTTTAAAATAAAATTAGTAAGCAAAGCAAACCAGGGTTAAGAAGAGTACACATTTGCTCTTTCTCTAAGCGGGTAATGGTCATGGGGCTCACGTCCTTGCTAATCCCATATTTCTTAATCTTTCTGCTTAACATTTATATTTTGTTTTATATCTACCTTGTTTTATAAATACTTTTGTTTAAAGTATAGTCGGATATATCAAACGTGGATAGCACTTTACAAGGATCTTTATTAAGGAATTTTGATTTATTGATTTTTATAAATTTTTCAAAAATTTAGATAGTGGATTTTTATTTTTTATTTTTTTACTTACGATACTTAAACTTTATATTTTATTTTAAAAAAAGTTAAAGATTAATTTATTGAAAACAACAACCCTTGAGATTCAAGTCCAAATTTGTAATACTATTGATTTTGTGAGGTTTAGTTAATTATGTGATTAAGGATGTTAACGGTATGAGACAGGTACAAGTAGTAGTAGTTTCTTGTTACTAAACCATCAAATATATATTGGTGATGAATCATTTTGTTGAGGTTACTGAATAATAGTTAGGTCTTGTATAATCGTTTTACCTGTGAGTAAGGTTTATTTTGTGTACAAATATGTAGTGATGTAGATTGTATATGTGTACAAGACATGTACATAGTTGTAAGGGATTTTTATTTTCATAAATTTATTTTCTACCTATACATGTATAATTTATATGATTATCTATATAGTAGATGCTTGATAACCCTAAGCAAGTTTTTGTTTTTTTTGTTTTTCGTTGCATAGTAACTATGCTAAGTGTAATAACACGATGAGTCATCACAAAATTCACTATAACTTCACTAAATATTATATAAAGGGATAAATAAGGCAAGTTTGAAATTTAAGGTAGAAATAGAATAAGTAAAAATGGTTACTTTGAAATTGACCAATTTAAATTAAAATTAAGATTAAAATTTGTTGTGCAACTAAGAGTTTTCACATGTCTCAATATTGGTAAGATATTGTCCACTTTGAACTTGAGTTTTCATGATTTTGCTTTTGATCATCATCTAAAAGTTATTTTTTTATTTTTTTTTATCAATGAATACTTTGTGTATATATATAAATACATGTTCATCCTCTTATTTGAACAATACGAGACTTTAAATTGAGTAAGGTACGAGATCGAGAGTCAAAATTTCTAACCAAGTGATAAAAGGGACGTAATATTTGAAGGATAGTTGGTGGACTAATCTCATAAGAGATTTAATTATGCATGCTAACGTTGTGATAAACTTACACCCAAGTTATTTTACCTCATAGAAATATTATACTTTTATAATTTAAGTAGAAAAAAATTGAGGAACATGTTATCGTGGATTTTTATCCAAATGGACTGTTGATATAACAGATGTAAAAAAAAATCATATTATCATTAGTTTGGTAGAGTCAATCCACCAAGACTGTTCATTTATGTTGTAAAATATCTATTAATTAAAATGTGTGACAACACATTTAATTGTTATGTTATGCATATGAAATAAAAAAAACAAATAAAATAAAAAATATTTTTTTAGTAAAGATATAAAATATTACAAAGATGGGGAGGGGTTGAGGTAGTTAGAAGTATGGAGACTCAGGTTTAATTCTCATTACGACCATCTTTGTAATGTTTTTATCTTAAAAAAAACATTATATTTATAAAACTGACTTACAAAATTAATGATAAAATATTTAATGGTTAAGACACTTTTTTTTATAATATCGTAAAAAATAGACGCTTTTAAAAAATATTTGATAATCATTTATTTAAAAATTTCTCTTGTTGATATTGTTATATTAATTTATTGAAGGAAGTGTTGACTTTTTTCAATAAGTACTTATTTAAATAATAAAATTATAGAAATAGCTCCTAAGATAATAGAAATGATGTTATATAATCTTTAAAGAATGGAAAAATTCTTCCAATCAGTCCCTTTAACAATAGTAAAATATGGAGACTAAATTGATAAATTCTTAAAACTTTTAAAGATTATTTAAGAGAGAGTAATATTTGAATGGTCAAATTCATGGTTTATTAATAAAAATAATCCTAAAATATAAAGTAAAATAAAATATAATAAAAAATTACAGTTTTCAAAGAAGATATAATAATTATGATAAAAACATTACATGTATAATAGTTATTTAAGATTGTTTTTCACACATTAAGAAATGTAATAATTTTTTTTTTATATTTTCTATAGTTCCATTTTCCATTTTTACTTCATAATAAATGTATATTAATTGTTATATATAAATTAATTAAAATTTAAATAAGATGTAAAAGTATAATTGGTAACACATTAATATATATCATCTTGAAATTTAAAAATAACAATTAAATATAGTGATAGTATTTGTGAGCCATTAAAATTACACTCTCTTAAATTTAAATTTAAGTTTATATATTTTTATTTAATTAAACAAATATAAGATTTTTAATTTGTCCAAAGAATATCATTATATTCTCTTATTATTTAATACATTTAATATTAACTATTCCTTTTAGTTTCTTATAAAAAATGTAAATACATTCAATATCTTGAAAATATAAAACATATTTAACCGCTACTATATATAGTAAGTAGGAAGAATAGAGTAAAAAAAATCCTAGATATGATATTTAAAAAATATTTTGGTATTATTCTTTAATAAGAACTAAAATTTTATTTCAAAATTTGCATAATAATTAAAGATTATTAACATGAAACTTCAATTCTGATAAAATAAAAAATATTCAATCTCTTTGATTAAATCTTAAAAAATAATCGAATCAATCTACTAATTCACCTATTTTTTTTTAAATAATTTTAAATAAATTTTAATTTGACACAAATTTTAATATAAAATAATCTCTAATCTAAAATAAAAATTGTTAAACTAAACATCATATATATAATATTAAATTTGATTTAAAAAATGTATAAATTTAAATAAAAAAGTTCTTATCATTGAAATAATTGTTTATCAATATTAAATTTCATTAAAAATTTAAATAAATAAACCTATAATAAATTTATGTTATTCAACATTAATTGTATTTTTCTAAAAATAAATAATACCTCATTAAAATAATATATATAATAATAAATGATTAAATAAATCATTGACAAATATTGATGAAAAGTATAAATGAGTCATTCAACTTATCATGAACTCAACCTAAATAGATTGAATTGGAAGTGAATTGAGTTAATTTTTTGAGATTTTATTTTTATTTTTTTACTTGAACCAAGCGATTCATTTTTAAGGTGGGCGGGGTATATACTGGATCTGGATCCTCTGACTTTGAGATATCAAAGTTATGGTAACTTAACACATCTCAATCGTTGGATTTGTAATAATAGATCAAATTGTGACCCGTGTACAAAATATATTTTAACTTAAATGTACACGTGTCACAATCTGATCTACTATTACAAATCCAATGATTTAAACGTGTAAAGTTAGCCTAACTTTCTCTCAGGGGATCTATTTCCGTATATACGAGAGGCTGAAATCACTTTTACAGCTCTGGTCTTCACCTAAACATAAAGAGTGTACTGTCCAACAAGTGTTTTATTTGCCTAATTTAATTCAGTTGATCTTTAACTAAAACCCATGAAACCGCCTATTGCATACAGTTATATTAGGTATAAGAACATTAGGGAGCGTGATACAACCTCAACCTCCCAGTGACTGTGGCATATGGTAAAGTAAAGCGTAAGGAGAAAAGGAAATAAATAATTTGGACACACAATTAAAAAAGAAAGAAAGAAAAAAGAGTGAGAATTTGCATATCCATTATTAATTATTATGCGGGAAATAAAATAGAATAAAAAAAGTGGAGAGAGGGCGCTAAATCCCCGTTAGTTGTAGGCTCTGGGCTCCCCTCTTTCCTCTCCGAATCCACCCTGTCCGTTGTGAAACGCGTTTAGAGCACTATATATAAAGCCCCCTCCCAATTCCTCCAGCAGCAGGTGCAGGAAAATAAACCCACTTTCATTTTCTCTGCATCTGTATTGTATTGTAGGACAAAATGCCCTCCTTAGAAGACGAGCTTTTCCCTTCAACCCCAGGTAAGTTCAAGATCAACAACACCATGAACCGCCAACTCTACCGCTGCTTCGCCTCCACCAGCACCATGTTCCTCTGGGCCCTCTTCCTCATCGCCCTCACCGCCTCCTACCTCAGCTTCCAGGGCTTCGTCGACTCGGGCACCAAGTACCTCTCCGCCTCCTGGGGCGGCATCCAGTGGGAGAAGCAGGTCCGCACCTCCGCCCAGATCCACCGCCAGGGAGGCATGTCCGTCCTCGTCACCGGCGCAGCAGGCTTCGTCGGCTCCCACGTCTCCCTCGCCTTGAAACGCCGCGGGGACGGCGTCGTCGGACTCGACAACTTCAACGACTACTACGACCCCTCCCTCAAAAAGGCCCGCAAATCGCTCCTCTCCACCCACGACATCTTCATCGTGGAGGCCGACCTCAACGACGCCAAGCTTCTCGCCAAGCTCTTCGACGTCGTCGCCTTCACGCACGTCATGCACCTGGCGGCACAGGCCGGGGTCCGTTACGCCATGGAGAATCCCCACTCCTACGTCCACAGCAACATCGCCGGCCTCGTCACTCTCCTCGAGGCCTGCAAATCCGCCAACCCCCAGCCCGCTATCGTTTGGGCCTCCTCCAGCTCCGTCTATGGGCTAAACGAAAAAGTCCCCTTTTCCGAGTCCGACCGCACCGACCGCCCCGCTAGCCTCTACGCCGCAACCAAAAAGGCCGGCGAGGAAATCACCCACACCTACAACCACATCTATGGCCTATCCATTACCGGTTTGAGATTCTTCACTGTTTACGGCCCCTGGGGGAGACCCGACATGGCTTATTTCTCATTCACCCGAAATATTCTCCAAGGGAAACCTATTACCGTTTACCGCGGTAAAAACCGGGTGGACCTCGCCCGTGACTTTACCTATATTGATGACATTGTGAAGGGCTGCGTGGGTTCCCTGGATACCGCGGGCAAGAGTACCGGGTCGGGTGGGAAAAAACGCGGACCCGCTCCCTACAGGATATTTAACCTGGGGAACACTTCTCCGGTTACTGTTCCTACTCTGGTGAGTATATTGGAGCGGCATTTGAAGGTGAAGGCCAAGAGGAATATTGTGGACATGCCTGGAAACGGCGACGTTCCGTTTACGCATGCCAATATTAGTTCGGCGCGGAGGGAGCTTGGGTACAAGCCCACCACGGACTTGCAAACCGGGTTGAAGAAGTTCGTGAAGTGGTACCTTTCCTACTACGGCTACAATCACGGCAAGGCTGTAAATGTAAATTAATTATTTTGTTTCCCTTTGGTTTTTTTGGGGAGGGTTTTTCTTTTTTTAGTATGGTAGGTTTTTAAGTCACAGATAAAAACAGACAGGAAGGGAAAAAAGAAATTAAGAACCTGGTCTAGTGCTCTAGAAGAAGGGAAGCGGGAACCCAAAAGAAGAAGATCATCAAGAATAATACATTCTTTACTTGGGAGGCCAGCTAAAACAGCTGTTGTTCCTCGGTTCATTTTTCTTTTTGGTTTTCATTGCTGCTTTTTTTTTTTTTTTTTTTTTGTAAAGAAAGAAAGTTCCAACTTCAGCTTGGATTTGTCTCTTTTTATTGTCTATATATTTAATCTATTTATATTTTACTTTCTCCTCTCCTCTCCTCTCCTAATTAAAGTTGATTAGAGCCACAATGCGTTGTACCGTAATTTTCGTTTGGTTTGTCCATCCAATCATCGCTGTCTTCTGTTTGACTTCAGAGTTCAGAGTGGGAATGGAACCAAATTGAATCGAATAATCAAATCACGGGATATAAGCTGGATCGGTATAATTTTTAACCCACCTACAATTTCTCTTTACTTTTTAATATTTCTATTATTATTTTATTTTATTATACCTTTTAGATATTGCATTGCATGTATAGAATGAGGAGATTTGCAAGAAAATATTTGCGAATTCATTGAGCAGGAAGAAGATTAAATTTGGCATTCGAGGTAAATGGTAAAGAATTTAATAAATTTAATTGGTTTCCTGTCTTGTAGTAGAACACCATTGTTTTACTCAAAAAAAAATCATTATAATGAGCGAAAAGTTGAGGTAAGATTTTAGTAAGAGTATTAAATATAATATTGAATAACAAAAATGAATGGAGTGGAAGTGGATAGAATGAAATAAATAGGTTGATTTGAAAGTTGAAAGGGTGGAGACAGCTAGGATGAGAGCGACAATGGGTGAGATAGGGTCCACAGTATAGTCCGGTGTGGGACAGATAGTACTAGCCGTTGGATTTTGAGGAATTGGATAGATTTGTCGAGCTGTAAAGTATGATACGTAGTAGCAGTGGTGGGTTGAGGAAAAATACAAGCTGTGGTTGCCGACACGCGGTGTAATTTTATCTTTTTCATTAGGTGGAAATTACTACATATATTGGTCTGGGCTTTTTGTGGTGGGTCCGATGCCATTGTCGTTGTTGTGGATGTTAGTGTGACCCGGTTTTCCATAACTTTTATGATGCCAATAGAGTTTGTCCATGTTATGCCAAATGCCAATTTCCTTTATATGGGGCCCTTACCCTCTACCCCCAGTAATTTGTTCGCCTATCAATCATTGCAAGTTTCGATGTTTAGAGTGCATCTTTTCTAAAATAGCATGCTAAACCAACTGCTTAAGCAATTCATTTATTCTAGATCATATCCACCGACATGCTCTATGGGCCCTATTACCATGTGACATTAGTATTTTTCTTATTATCTTATAAAATACTTAATGCTTTAAATTTAATAATTAAGAAGATTTTGAATGAGATTTATAATTAATTGCCTGTCAACTATCCAAAACCAACAGAGCTGATTACTTTTTGTTTCTTAGGAGTACTTACGGAAAGCAAACAAAACATGGGAGTTTTTTGGGACGTTGCTGTCACGTAGCAGCTTGCGCAGTTTATCGAGTTAATGATAGGTATTAGTGAATAATAGTTGCATATTTTATAGAATAAAATTAAGCTTTATTCACCGAATGGGACTAAGTGTAGGCCAGCCTTGGATTGTTAACTAGCTTCAGGCTTCAGCGGTTGGTTTGTCCAAACTATCAACTTTTTTGCTTGGATAAGAATGTGAAAGAACAAAAGTGAACAAGTTTTTGTTTTTGTTTTTTTTTAAGATGAATAAAGAGAGGGGTTTTATCTCATATATGACCCGAAGTGAATAAAAATAAATAAATATGAGAAATAGGATGAAAATATAAGTGTTTATTTTAAGAAAAGTAAAAAATAAATAAAATATTGTAAAACTATTATTAATCGAATGTTTTTAATTTTAATCAGTCACATCTAAAAAAATAATTATATGGTTTAATCGATTAGATTTCAAGGTACGAGAATGTCTTCATTATTTTTCACTTATTTGTGCAAAAGCAAATAAGTCTCACTCCTGTTTTACTTCTTTCATCTCAATCAAAACAACTTCATTTTTTTATTTTATAGTTTATATTTTAACTTTTTCTTCTCAAATTCTCTCACTCGTTTTCACCCAAAAACAATCACATTTTATGCTTGAAAGAGGGAAGAAATTAAAGAGAAAAAAATGTGAGAAATGATTAAATGGAAAATAGGGTAAAATTTTTGGTTGATTGGTAGACTAAAATTAAAGATTTTCTATATCAAAAGATATTTTATTGTATATGTGACCACTCTCATTTACCTGCAATTTCATTCAAATAACTGCTATCAAGTGATAGACATTAATCAATTGTTTAATATATTTTCATTCCTAATTTAAAAATGAAATAATTAAACTTTTATTTGAGATAATACTTTTATATTTTTATTTTTCATTTTTGAAATAAATTATTCAGATGCTTTATTATTTTCACTTTATTTTCATTTCCAAGTGTATAAAACGGTGTGAAATTAAAAAAAAAAAAATCTTTAAAACCAGAAAATAAAGTAAATAATTTGCACTTTTGTAAATTTTATTTGTAACAATAAAAACTCTCAACTTTAAATAGACTTTTAATATTTGAAATTTTTTATCACTGAAATAATTTTATTGTATAATATGGAATGTGGGACTTAGTCAAATGTTTTTATTTTTTTTAAATTAATATAACACGCTTTTATGAGAAAAAGTAGGTTTGATTAAAAAAAAATTCCTCTTCTTGTGAAATAAAAGGTTTGATTCTTATTTAATTTTATTTTTTTTAATGTAAAGATTTGATTCAAAGCAGCTAATTGTATTTATGTCAGCAAGCTATATTTCGATGCTCATAAATGCGTATCCAGCTAAACTATTATTAATTGATCGTTATAAATTTAATTAACTCCATTAGACAAGTGACCTTATCTTATCACTGTGTCTTACGTGCAAAGCACAGACTTCGCCATTTGTGAAGCAATTATAACAACCTCAGCCCCCACAATCACCCTTTATGAAGCCATAATGATGGCAGTGGCTGGGGAATGAACATTCTACACATAAACCTAATTCTTTCGTAGATTATTTGACTTTGAACATGAGAGTTTCTTGATAGATACACCATTTTTATTTATTATTTTTTTTTTTATTTATGATTTAAGCCATAATGATGGCAGTGGCTGGGTAATGAACATTCTACACATAAACCTAATTCTTTCGTAGATTATTTGACTTTGAACATGAGAGTTTCTTGATAGATACACCATTTTTATTTATTATTTTTTTTTTTATTTATGATTTTGTCGTCTCCGTAATTGTTAAATAAAACAAATCGTCACTCAAGGTGAAGTTAGAAGCATTCAATTAACTTGCGATGTACATTTTAACAAGTTCAGCGCAAATGAAAAACAAAAATCAGTTATATTTTTTACTTCTGCGTTACTGTTACGTTTGGTTGAACACAATTAAAAATATGTAAAGAAAATGTTAGATTTGAATAATTTATTATGTTTGAATTGAAGCAAAAAAGTAAAAGAGTGAGAGAGATAAAATAACTTTCGAGTCGCGCAAAAATTATAAGTTTTTATTTTCATCCGCAAGAATAAACGGAAGAGAAAAAAATTGTATAAAATAATAAATTTATCTATTGTTATATCAGGAATAATCAAAGAATTGATTCACATAGTTGTAAAAATGAGTTAAATACCGTAAATCAACCTACTTAACTTGCTAAAATGGATTAGGTTGAATTTAATTAAATAATTTAATCCTTCAATATGCATAACACAATCATAGTTATCTTATTACTTTACTTTACATTTATGTAATATATAATAATTTAATATCTTTTATTTTAGGTCGAGCCATATATATTTTAAATTCTCAATTTTAGATTAAAATATTATATATTATTATAGGAGATTGTTAACATACTTTTACCTTAATTTTAATTTCACCTTAATTTTAATTAGAGTACATTGGAAATTTACATCGAAAATTTTGAACCAAAAAGTCAATCAACTTTTTTTTAATAAGTTTACTTAAAGGATATTATAACAATTTATCATTGATTTATTTTTTTAAAAAAATCATTTACTCACTCATTCTCTCTTCTTTCATTTATTTCTATTAGGGGTGGGCAAAAAAAACTGAATTGAACTGAGCTGGTGGTGAACTTAATTGAACTGTACTATACAAAACTGAATTATTTGTAAAAAAACTGAACTGAACTGAACTGTTGAAAAGTTAATTGTATTGAACTATAAAACTGAACTGAATTATAAAAATTGAACTATTTTTATAAAAGGATAAAAATTAAATGTGTCTAACATGTTATGTCTTAATGGACTAACTCGATAGTCTAATAACCAAAACTTTAGAAAAAAAAAGTGATAAAAAAAAATTGTATCAATTTTATCGAACCTAACGGATCAATTGAGCTATGTTGGACTACTTATTTTTAGATTTAAAATTTACTGTGACTTATATATCATAAAATTTGTAATCTTATACTAATTTATTATCATATGTTAAGCATACTTCATTAATAAAATATGGAATTCCTACTCATGAGAAAGAGTCCCTTGACTTTTTTTTAAGAAGAATGTATGTCTCTTTTTTATTTGGTTGGTTCTTATAAGCATAAAGTATTATCTCAAAGCACAATTCTATATTTAAGAGGAGGATTAAGCCTCAATTATTGAATAAGAAATACAAGTGTTAAATCACTTTTGTAAAATAACTTTTGGTAGAAGGTCTCATAATTTAAATAGTCATTCACTATCTTGGATAAAAACCAATCATTAGATTTATAAAACTTGATTTTGAATATTTTGGTCATTCACTAATGAGGTCAACTAAGATTGTCCTCTAATGTTTTTTTGTGACCGAAATATTTTTTCAAAAAAATTGTACTTATAACGACCCGACTGGTCACTACGCCCGGCATAGCACACTAGAAACACCAGACAGATAGAACAAGTATATGAATATAGGATCTAGAATATATAGATATACAAGGTTCCAGTCTGACTAGAGTTAAAGTGTACTAAAGAAAAAATACAACCAAATGCTACTATCCCACGTAGCCACAAGCAAAACAACACATCGCCAAGCAAAACAGCTGCAAGGTCCACCAACCTCACCACAAGACGCACATCTATTCCTGCCCTGCTCCCATACATAGTATGATCATCGCAGTCCAAAAACATGGAAAACAACAGAAGGGTAAGCTAGTGAAATTAAAATTCATCATACAATTATATAATTGGCAATATAAATAACAACAGATACAGTTATCAGCACACTTGTACAGCTTATACCACTCAACAATATCAGCACCGCAATGCGGCAATATCAGCACTGCTTAGCAGCAACAACAGCACCACTCTAGTGGCTATAACGGCACCGACTTAGCGGCAACAACAGCACCGCCTTAGCGGTTAGAATCAGCACCACATGTGTGGCTAACAACAGCACCGACTTAGCGGCTATAATATCACCCAACTCAGCATATCTTAGCATAGTACAGCACAACACAGCACAGCAATTCAACAAAATTATTACTTTCTACAATTCAGCCCGACGGTCTATAATTCCGCTATACTATATAATTTCTCTTATTAATCCATTGATTCCAGCTCAACAATACAGCTCTAATACAACTAACATATTTATCTCAGCTTTATCCCCTAATCATCACAACATATTCATCAAATTCGCTTGGTTCAACATATAACATCATTTATTAACAATTTCGGCACAACTCAACAGTCAACATCCTATAGATCATCATCTCCTTGCGCGCCCGGCGCACTCGAGGTTGCGCCCAGCGCGACTCAACCCGAGAGCACCAAGGCTCTCCCGCGCCTGGCGCAATTCCAAATTGCGCCTAGCGCCTGTCTGGCAGAGACTCAAGGAGTCTCGTGCGCCCAGCGGAGCCTAACCCGCGCCCAGCGTGGGGAAGGCAGAGACCTACCAGGGTCTCGCGCCCAGCGCAATTCACAATTGCGCCCGGCGTGCCCTTGGCAGAGACTCCCAAGGAGCCTCCGCGCCCAGCGAGTCCAAAAGTGCGCCTAGCGCAGTCCAAGTATCCCAAAAACATGTTACTCTTGATATCGCGCCCAGCGCAGCTCGAGTCACGCCCGGCGCGGGCCAACCAGAGACCCCCATTTGCAAGCTCGCCCAGCGCACACAGCCTTGCGCCCGGCGGGCTTGCCTAAACAGAGTCTCCTGGTGGTCGCGCGCCCGGCGCGAAGAACAGCGCCCAGCGCGAACTCATCAGTAACTTCCCCAAGTTCGAAAAATTACTCAAAACCTGCAAATCTTAACAGCAAACAAGCATGCAATCCAGCCAAAATGTCACATTCTCATCAAACATCAAGAAAAATACCTCATTTTCCACATGCAACCACAATCCAAGAATTTCCTCAAAATTTCTCAAAAATCCCGAAAACCCCAAAATCTTAACTTTAGAAGTTCTCAACCAAAATCATCAGTTCTCAGCCGGTTAAATGAGTCCCCAGACCCCCTTTTAACCAAACCACAGCATAAAACTAACTTCCCTTACCTTGAATCCAGAAATTTGAGCTCCGGGCACTTGAATGAAGAAGGAGAACGAAAGGGAGTTTGAACAAAGAGGAAGAACAAGCTTGGGGACTCAGCTCTCGGACAAAGAATCAGTTCTCCTACTGCTTGCACCTAGAGTCACCAAGATTCACCACAAGGAATTTTTTGAGAGAAAAGAAATGAGTAAGGGTTGAGGAGAAGAAAAATAAGTGAAGGAGGAGGTGAGTGGGAGAGAGAGAACGGGGTCTCACAGTACTAAGATAATTTAGTTAAATAATATTTTTGTGATTATGTTATTATATTTAAATTAATAAAATTTTAAAATAAACATCAAATTAACGAGAGCAATCTATTTAAAAAATAACAATTAATAAAACTACACCTTTAAATCAAATGCTTAAATTCAAATATGATAAATACATTATATGGATGAAAATTTTGGGGACGATAAGTTTAAATATATAAAATCAAGTGACAAAGTATGAAAATTTAATATTTATTTATATTATTCTCAAAATGAGGGGTGCATTTACTCACTCTTTTCCCAATCGTAGGTATGGTACTATGCTTAGTTGCATTTTAAAAGTAAATATACAAAATGCACAAATTTTTTTAAAGGTGTCAAAATTGCATTTTAATTATATTGGCACAACAATCTATGTTAGTATTATGTACACTGCCATGTTAGCACCACCTACCACGTGAATGATTAACTGGCAACAATGTATAAAGAATAGAAAATAATGTCAGGATTAAATGTGCAGCTAGTTAAGTATGGGCTATGTAGGTAAAATTTTGGAAAAAATATGATGAATTTGCAAAATTGTGAAAAGACAAAGTTTACATATCATGTACAACTGTACAAGTATAAAAAATAAATATTGGTTGGCATAAGTGGGATTTTCTTGTGTTATTTGATTAAATTATTTAAGATTTAAATTTTAATATTGGTTACATACTAAATTGTATTGAAATATGTTTATGATTTCTGACTGAGATTAGTCTTGTTGATGAATATTTTTCACTAATATCATGAATATCATTTTTTTTAGAACAAAATTTATTTATTTTTAAATAGAGTTATTCTTACTTTAAGTAAAATTATTATCGTATTCAAGTATTGCATTATAAAAAGATAATAAAATAAAATTATAAAAATAATTAAATTTGATATACATTTATATATTTATTGATTTTAAATATCACTAATAATTAACTATGCAAAAGGAGAAAATTATTTCTTTAAACATTTATAATTTATCAAGAGGGACTGAATCTAATGAAATAAATTAGTCTTTCACAATGTAGTGAATCAATGCTTACATTTTTTTATCGAGAGAGGAGCTTCTTTTAATATATAACTTGAACAAGATTGTTTTTAATAAGAATATCTACAGAAACCCCAAAATATAAATATGATTTAATTTATTTTTCATCTTATGTACTTGACATACAAGTATAAAATAATATTAATTAATTATATTTGGCTACTTAATTTATTTAAAAACACATTAAATGTTTTTAAGAGTAACTTACTCACCAAATGAGGATTATTGATATCACATAAAAGTCCAAATTTACTCCAATATCATACTTTACCGCATTTGAAGTGAGTAATAAAATATTGAGGAAAATTTCATCAAGCACCCTCAACATATAAATTAAAGACTATTTATGTAACTCTTATTTGCTTTATTATAGTTGCAAATTTTGGTTAAGATTTCCCCGATCTCTTGCATTTTTTTTAATACCACTTATATCAATTATATAAGTGTGATATTATTAGTAGATAACTTTATTCTTTAAATATATGGTTAATAATTTGATTCTAGATTGATATGTATGAAAAAAATTATTGGAAGAATTTTACCCTCTAAATGAATTGCATCATCTTGAAAGAATAATGCTTAGCTTTTGCCTAAGAAATTCCTCAATTTAAAAAAAAAAATTAATACTACTTATGTCATATATTTGAGTTATTGGATAAAATTATCTTTCCTTTTAACTTAAAAAAAGTTTGAATATTTTCTCCTAGAGCATATCAGTTTAATAAAATTCTCATAAATTATTAGTTTTTTTTTACTTTATTAATTTTTTTCATTAGTATTTAAATTTTTTTAGTTAATGATGTCCTAACAAAGTAATTTACTTTAGTGATTCACATTGATTTAACATATAACGTTTTATAATCTACATTTATTTGCATATTAACTGTAAACTCACAAAAAAGTTCATTTCAAATGACTAATTTCAATTATATGAGAACTTTCTATCATTTTTCTTAGTGTCACACCTGTCACTGTGTTTTGTGTCGATATTTTATACCGAGTGAAATAAAAAACTGTTTATTACTAATTATTTTTTTTACACAATTTATTACTAATTGTTAAATCATGATAAAATGTATTTTTTTAATTAAAGATGTAAATAATGTAAAAAAAATTTATTGTAAGAAGATGACGAGGAGCGTGATATAAATTGGGCGTTTCGCATATCGTTTCAACTTGCACAGAATTCGGTGAGAAGTGAATCGAAAGGAATTATTAGTTAGTTAGTGGAATGCGATTCACTCTTCTTTCGCGGGTGCCTGTTCCTTTTCTCTCTACCGCCTTGCTTAAATTCAAATCTGTCCCACCTTCCACTAGGGTTTATCGCATGGCCGCTGCACCTTCTTCCGCGGCGGTTCGCGACGCCGCTCCGTCTGCTTCCTCCGTCATTGATTTTCTCTCTATCTGTCACCGCCTCAAGGTACTTCTCCGTTAATGAGTTTTCTATTTTATAATGCACTTCTTCATTTCCCAGAAATCCCGAAGAATTTATATAGATGATTATTATTTAGTTTTGATTGCTATAACTGTCAGCACGCTTCAAGCTAAGTTTGGTTACAGAATGAAATGTAGTTTTATTTGATTGCCGTTATCTTATTCTAATAAAGCACGATTACACTTGTGCTGTTTCGTTTTTTTATTTTGGATTTGCGTGCTTTTAATTTGTAGTGCTCTAACATGTTTGAATTATATGTGTGATCTGAAATAGACAACAAAGAGAACAGGGTGGGTACGAAAAGATGTTAAGAATCCGGAATCTATAGCTGATCATATGTATCGAATGGGTCTGATGGCTCTCATTGCATCAGATGTTCCTGGTGTAGACCGAAACAAGTTATCCACCTTCCTTTTTCCTCAACTATATATATATATGTTTCTCAATGACTATTTTGTTTTGTAATGCACCTGATAACAAAAGAGCGAGAGGTAGGTTTTCTAAAACTTGTTTCTGTTAATTTTCAGGTGCATTAAAATGGCTATTGTCCATGACATTGCAGAAGGTATGCTAATCTGCTGCTTGCTTTGTGTTATTTGTTTGCAACACACAAAACTCCTATAAAATAGACACATCAAAACATGAGTGTTACAAAAATCCTAACAGCAGCAAGTTTTTATGATGCAAGTTGGTTATTGCTATGGAAACTAACATACCCTTGCGTTTCTCCCCACCGTTCTACTGTTTCATGTTACACTCAAGGAGAACTTGATAAATGTCTAAAAGACCACTCCACATGCTGGTTTGATGCATAATTTTTTAAGTACATAATGCTAGCTGTTTATTTGATGCATGTAAATTCACAATGCTTGTGTAACCACTGTTTTGTTTTTATTAAAGAAGTGGATTTCGGGTTGGGCAAAACTTACGAGCAGTATCATTGGTACTGTTCTCCAATTAGAATTGTAGTTTTACCTTTGTGTAATATACATTTATATTTAATCCAGACCTTGGTAATAACATTTATGCATATTATTGAGATGAAACTTCAATTTTAATCAGGGAACAACACCAATAGTGCATATAATAATGTACCTAAGTTTTGTCCTTTTGGGTTTTCAAGTTATTAGAAGCTTTAATACAAGAGTATTTTAATATCACCATATGTTTCATGCTCTCTCTTCCGAGTTCAGATCTACAATTTCATTTGTTTACTTTGGTGCTTTATTTAATAGCAATTGTTGGGGACATAACACCAATGGATGGAATTTCTAAATCAGAAAAGAATCAACGAGAACAAGCAGCACTAGATCATATGTGTGAAGTACTTGGAGGAGGATCTACAGGTATCTTTTTTTATCACTCTGTACATTATTTTGATAATGAGAGTATAACAAAAACTCACATCTCTTGGTTTTTAATGTAAATATCAAATTTCAGCAAAGGAAATAGCTGAGTTGTGGATGGAGTATGAAGCGAATTCTTCTCCAGAAGCTAAATTTGTTAAGGACCTTGACAAGGTTTGTGGCTTTTTTCCTATTGTCTTTCAATGAGTCACATTTGGGCTACCTTTTGACTTCTGCATGTGTGTTTTTGGTACAAAACCCGGTGATGGCCTAGGGAGGCCCCATCGCTACATTGGTGCCTAAGGGATCAAGAGGTCCCCGCTAGGGGGCCCAGGGAGTGAGAGAGAGAAACAGGGGGAGTGGGAAAGGTCTGTTCCATTTGGGTGGGGAAGGGGGAGGGTGTTGAACCTCCTCCGTAGAACTTGCAAAGTTGCAATGTCCCAACTAAGTGAGCTATGGGAAAGGTATTGTGATTCATGTTTTATGGACATTCATTTTGGACTTTTGTGTTATTCTCTTCTTCATTTCAGCCTTTCAAAGAACTGTGTATTAGGTTATACAGATTAATTTATCTGATTTGTTAAAAGGTTGAAGATGGTATAATGTGATGCTGATGATGCTGTTCTACTATTGTTTTATTTTGCTCTGTATCTTTTTGTCCCCATTTATAATTTCATGAATACTTTTTTTTTTTCCCAAAGGGGTTGTGATAGATTGCATTTGGGCCCTTGTGGATTTAAACTGATGGTTAAAAGGGAGAAACAATAATAACAAATAGCTCATTTATTGTTAATATTCTATCAGACAGATGATCTTAATTCATTTACAACGATTATGTCATATTTTGGTCTGAATTTAAAATTCCTTAAGTTCGTGCCATGTTTACAATTAGTTTGTCTGATTCTATAATTTTTTTTTCATACAGGTGGAGATGATACTCCAAGCTTTGGAATACGAAGATGGTGAGAGAATTTTTCAATTTTTTTTTTCTTCATATACGTTCACATTATTATGAGAATATATACAAGCCTTGTTTGAATTGTTTGTCAATTCGCCTAACAATAAATATTACAATATTAATTTATATTGTATTAAGGAATTTATACAAGTGATGTTGAATTTTGGACATGTTAAACTTTTGGCACCATGGTCTTCCTGGACTGGGTGGCCTCCATAATTAATTAAGACAAGGTTGGTGGAGGGCCAGAGGTTGCGAAAGTTCTATCATTTTTGACAGCAAATAGACATTTATGTCAAGTATTCTAGCTAGGAATTTTATGGAATTTGTTGTGTATAGACTGTAGGGTAACATTAGTGATAAGTTATATTTCAATAAGTATGGTAGGGGTAAACAACTATTTAACTGTGCATTCATATTTTCACAAATGTCTTTGCAATCAGTAATTTCTTGTCATGTGTCTTTTTGATTGAATTGCAAAAATAAGGCCTTGTATGTCTTTTGCATTAGGTACAATAGAATGTCCTCTGCTATCTACTTGTATGATGGATATTGAATTTGACTACTTAGTTGTAATGTTGTAATTGTGTAAAAGTGTGGTATGTTGAATAATGCAGGATTCATCCTCCTAATTATTAACAAAATTTACCTAAGAAGTATATCATCTATAATTGTCTTAAATTCCATTACACGGTGCAGTTAGAGTTTAAAACTATACTTGTATGCTACAAACATTGGAATGACTGGGTATTTTGGTCATTTGGTGATTGTCATTTTGTTTGTAGATTTGTCTCAGTGCATTATCCATATGGTTTAGATTTTCTGAATTTTGTTCTCTGATTGCTTTTTTCAGAGCAGGGGAAGGATTTGGATGAATTTTTCCAGTCAACTGCTGGTATGATTTTTTCAGTGTGATTTATTAATTTGTGTTCTGAAATTGAATGATGGAGGTTAGATATCATGGTGTTTTTTAATAAAAAGAAATTCCACATGAGTGATATTTTTTTACCTACCCTTTTTATTTTTTGAGTCTGGAAGAGTGGAACATGGATAAGCCTCAGTAGTATCTGGTTGCTAACATGGGATGTAGCTTTCAAAGCTGTTTTCTTGAATTGGGGATTGATCCTATGGATTTGATCTTCTGCATATTTTGTTCAGTTGGTTAAAGTTGAGCACTGAAGACGTGATGAGGCGGCAGAAATGAGTTGATCATGTATTTGTTGTTTGATGGATTGTTTTAGTAGTTTACGAAGTATCAATTATCCGCTTTTTATGATTAGATAATGTTGATAATGCATTGGAGTAATTTTTACCCTTTTGCAGGGAAGTTTCAAACTGAAACTGGCAAAGCTTGGGCCTCAGAGATAGTATCAAGAAGGAAGAATAAATAAATCCCCCTGTATGGATCTCCTTGTCGATGGTAAAGGGATTGGTGGGGTTGTATGTGGTTTGATGATGTGGTTTTTCCGTTTTTTTGGTCAGTGGCATGAATAGTAGTGTAATAGACTAATAGTTGGTAGAGGTATAATAACAACGGCAAGATGTACGGACCTCCTAAAAAAAGAGAAATGGAAGCTGTGCATGAAGCAGCATAGAACAATCAAATTTGTTCAACTATTTCTAACCTTCATTAGTACACATTAAAATAACTGGACGGAAACTATTGTTGAACTTTAAATGGATAGATTCCGTGGACTTCATATGGGTGATTGTTGCTTGCAATGGAGAAGCTTATGGCTTTGAGCAATTATAATAGAGTTGCCTATGTTGGTAAGAAATTTAAGAATATCATTAAAATAAACGAGTTTTATATAATTCTTATTGAAGTTGTGATCGTGCTTTAGTCGTCAATTTTTTTTTTCAAATTAAAATGAGTTCTTGTGCGAATGGAGAAATTAGTGAGATTTACTTAAAAATATGTTAAAAATCGCAAGTTAAGTGTTACAGAAGTGAAAATTAGTGTTTTTTAAATTTTAGGCAATAACAAAAGGTTCGTTAAGAAAAGTTAACAACTCAATTTATTTCTTGGACAGGAGATATTCTTGCACTGGAGTCAATCTGTTATGTAAACTGCGACAATTTATAGTTTGGGATTAACGAATATGCAAAGCCAGCTTATTCCAAGTTTTCTAGATAAGGAAGTTCTTTAATTTAGGCACGTTTTGTAAACTCTTGAGTACAAAATTTTTAATCATCGTTTTATTGTTAAAGAAAAGTATATGCCAAATTCAAGGTTTGAAAGGAACAATAAGAGTGGTCAGAGTATTGGAATTGTAAATAAATGTTATGATAGATGTTACTTTATACTCTTGAATTTATTTGTGAAATTAGGTATTGAACTAGTTAATAAATATAGAATGTTACGATACATGTTTATATAATTTTAAAATACAATTTAAGTAATTATATATAATTTTTGTTTTTTAGCTAACTTTGAATTCTTATTCTTTTTTCGGAATATCATTTATTTTATTAAAATTCAGAATAATTAGTACAAATAGTATGATTTAATGGTAATGCACTATTAATGCAAACATTTCTATATAATCATTAATCAAAATTTGTTATTGATATGATTTTTCAGTTAATTATAATAAAGATCAATAAATATTATAAATGATGGACTACGATTGAATGACATTATAAATGTATAAACTTTTATCTCTTTCAGTAAAGCCCTATCAATAAAAAATATATAATAATGTTAAAAGAGACAATAAATGACAAATTTTATAAATTTAAATGTTACTGTTTAAAAAAGTTTTAAGTTAACAAAAGGAATTTATTTATTGTGGCGAAACAAATTTATGAATTAATTAAGCAAATTATAAGTTAACTCAAATGAGATGTTAATAAAATAATTGAACTAAATATATTTATTTTTGGTTTTCATGAATATATTAAATGAAGTCTTTTCTCTTAATCATATTTCTGTATTTACATTGTTTGTACCAAAAATTTTATTTAAAATATTTGAATTTAATTACTTGAATTAATGACATGTTGATCTAGATATCTTTATATTTTTTTAATCATATTACTAGTGCAAAATATCTATCTATTTCTTTTATGACTATATTTACTTGCACTAAATATCTTTATTTTAATTAAATTAACTTATAACCCCATCAAATAAATGATAAATTAATTAAAATAACTATCAAATAAATTGAAAGGCATATTCAAATAAATATATTGAATTTAATTTAAAAAAATATAATTTATGGATTAAAAAATATATTTTGAAGAAAAAAATTCATTAAAGATGACCAACTAATTTTTCTGGCAGAAATTAATTATTATTAAAATGATAAATATTTTATACTAATATTAAAAAAAGTTAATTAGAAAGAAACAATTTTTGTAACATTAGAATGAAAAAAAAAGGCACTTTAAATTAAAAAGAAGACACATAAAGTTTTAGTTAAAATAAGAAAATGTCAATGGTGCGACATATTCTTTAACTATTGTCCTTGGGTTAGACTTTAGAGTTTAACAGATAAAAAAAGTAGATAGAAAATGATAATTCACTAATTGATTAAACATGTTTTTCTACTTTACAAAAATCAAACTTTAATTTTTGGTTAAGAAGTATAACTATAAGTGTCCGACTATTTAGGTTAATAACTTTTTTTTTGGCGAATAATTTATACTTATAACATGATAAAATAAATGTGTTATATATAATTTCTTTTATTGAAATAAATATAATCGAAAGTACAGTTAAGAGTAAGGGTAGGCATTGAGTGGGTTCAGTCGGATTCGGGTGAAAAATGTTCAACTTGGTAAACCGATTTAGAAAAAATGTGACCCATATCCAACCGATTAAGCTTTTGGTTTGAGGCGGTTCGGGTTGAAATGGATTTGGATTTAAGCGGGTGGGTACAATTGGGTTTAAGATTTTTTGTAGACCAAGTTATCTTAACGAAGATAAAGCTTAAAATGGTAAAAAAAGAATTTAAAACAGTATACAAAAATAAAATGAAGGTGACAATAGATGGTTTAAGTAGATTCGTAGATGAAACATTCACAAACTAAAGAAGCAAAAATAAAAGATAACAAAATCCGTAGTTGTTACATGCAAAAGAAATATAAAGTTAGATTATAAAACCCATAAGAAATCACATCCACACAAGTTGTACTCAAAATGGACAAAGGAAGATGGAAAAGAAAGACAAAGAAATAAACAAAAAGAAAATTCTAAAAATGAACTAGTGTGTTGAGAAGTTGAATGAAAAAAGAAAAGACAGAAGAAACATTTAGGTTATGAGAAAAAAGGAAAAAAAAAATACTTAAAATAAAGACTTTTGAGTTTGGACCATTGTTTAGTTATACAAAAATAATAAAAATTTAAACTTATCTTATTTTTAGTTGGGTTCAGTTTTTAGCGGGTTTAAAAATTTAAAACTGAACCCACTCAATATAACCCGTATAAAATTAAAAATTTTTAACCTAATTTATCCATAAAACTTGCTCAAATTTACCTAAAAATTATATTTTTTATTGAATTTTTTGAGTTCGGTTTGAGTTTCGATTTTATGCCACCCCGGTTAAGTGGAGCCTTGCATAAATGAGACGGCTGGGTATGACGCAAGAAAGCAGAGTTGGAATCATTGTCTTCCCGCGTGCCTCAAATGGCATGCAATTTTCCCGATTTTCAATTTTTCATAGTGGAAATATCTATTCATATGTTTGTTAAAAATTAATGCAACATGTATATTTTATTTCCATGAAAATTATACTTACATAAATAAGAGAGTTTTATTTTCATAATGCAAAGGTGGATAAGTGATTTTTGTAAAAAAAAAAAAGGCGGGACAGTAATATTTTTATAAGAATATTTAAAATTATTTTGTATAACATTTATAATTTTCAGTTTTATTTATTTAAAAATATTCGTATGAATATTAAAATGAATCAAACACTTTTTTTTTATATTCTCAAAAATAACATTTTTTTTCATTATTATTATTATTATTATTTATCACGTATTTAACTTCTCTATTGTTTTTCTTCTGATCTTTGGTAGTTGAGTGTATGTATAACATAATTTTTCTAGTTTTCTTTGTTGGTGATGGGTGGTGTACAAAAAGTAAATTGGTTAGAAATGGGCGCGTAAAAGCAAGGGTGCTTGCTCTCTCCGCAGTTTCAGGTCATACAATTCATACTTTTCCCTCTCACCCAACACAAACACTTCAATCTCAATCCAAATCAATGGCCTCTCTTCGTCTTCGTCTTCGTCTTCGTACCCTTCTCCCCCTCCGTTTCTCCTTACAAGTACGTATCACACCGAATCACTCATTCTTCTTCTCCAATGTTACGTTGCTAAGTGCTAACACTCTATTTCCTTTCGCCGCAGGGGACGCTGCTTTCGTCTTCTCCACTCCAACAAGGTCTTTTCCTTATCATCACTTCATTTATTTCCCCTTTAGTAATTATATTACTTATAATGCATTCTACCTGTTTGTTTGTAAACTAAAACAAGCGCTAGAAATAGAAATTACGTCAGAAACCTTTTCGCTGAGCCTTGTGTTTCTGTACTTTAGGTTTTTCGCGAAGCTACAGCGTCGTTGATTCTTCCAAACATTCTATATTGAAGTCCGATGAGGAGGAGATATCCGCGCTCCGTCGCGAATTCGAAGCCGCCAAACAGAGTTTTCTCAATATTCCCGAGGCGCTCAGGGAAATGCCCAAAATGAATCCTAAAGGTTCGTTGCTTCAACATTTCTTTTTTCAAGTTGTGTTGTTTCTGAATATTGAACTCTTTTTTATTTTTTTTAATATTTTTTTAATGTTTCTATGTGTATTGGATTAGGCATATATGTGAATAAGAACTTGAGATTGGACCAATTGCAAGTTTATGGGTTTGACTACGATTACACATTGGCACATTACTCGTCTGATTTACAGACTTTGATATATGACCTTGCCAAGGAGTACCTGGTTAACGAGGTTAGCCCTGACAACGCGCTCCTTCTGTTTTTTTTATGAATGTGGTTTTTCCTTACTAGTTTTGTTGTTTACTTCAGCTCAGGTATCCGGAGGTTTGCATGAGTTTTAAATATGATCCATCTTTCCCCATTAGAGGCCTATGCTATGATAAGTCAAAAGGATGCCTCATGAAGCTAGATTTCTTTGGTTCGATTGAGCCGGATGAATGCTTCTTTGGTAGACGCAAGGTATGCATCTTATTGGCGTCTATTGTCTTTTTGATGTGGTGTGAAGCTATTTCTGAAGTGTATTCATGATTGTGAAAATCCACATACAATTGGAACTGTGTCCTAGTCAGCATGGTTTGTCTGTTGTTACAGAAATGAAATAGTGCCGGTCAAATATTTTTTACATAAATTTCTTTCTCTTGAAATTTACAGCTAAGCCTGAGAGAAATAAGTGACATATATGGCACGCGGCACATTGGTCGTGATCATGCTCGATCACTTGTTGGTTTGATGGATTTCTTCTGCTTTAGTGAGGTTGGTTCCCTATTATCCTGTCATTCAATAATAATTGGTGCTGTTGTAATGTGGAATATTGGAGCTTTGCCAGTGAAAATTTATGCAATGAGTCTAATACTCTTCATGGGTCGACGAAGACTATTGTTATCCCGAGTATGCATGTCATGAAGTTATATATACAAATAATTGACCGCGATCCGCATATCAGCAACATATATCTAGAATAGCCCTGCTGCAGTTTCTTTGTGTGTTTGAGCCCAGTATACCATAAATAGACAAAAGATGTGGGGCAAAATTAAATCTCTGTTCATCACTTCTTTGTAAGAAAAAAAAATGTTCCTTTAAGAGTTTTTGGTGTTATTTCTAAGAAAAAAGTGTTTTTTAATTAAAAAAGTATTTTTGGCGTTTTGTTGCTTTTCTAACAAGCTCATAAGAGTAGCTTATGCAAAGAAACTGTAAAAAAGCTATATAACACTAACAGAAGTACCTTTTCAAAAGTTTATCCAGATGCACCCTTAATGGAACTTGACCTAGTGTATTCAATCTTGATTACTCTTGCTTCTCCAATTGGTCATTTGTTTTGTTTGACTTTTGCACTCAAATGTTCTGTTCCTTTTAAATGTCTCTGTTGTTGAGAAAAAGCTAACAAAAATGTTGGTTTCCTTCAGTTTAACCAAGTGCAAGATCTACTTTGTGTAGCTAAGTAGGTCTCTTAGACTGTTAAGGGCTAAGCTACACCTCTACCACCAAGGGAGAAGTATGTAGCCAATTTTTCGAAATTATAAAACTTACTCTATTATTTTAGGCTAAAATCCTAATAGTTTGTCCCTTTGAAAATTGGAAGTTCTATTGAAATTTAAAATTCCCCTTTCCAATTTCGTTTTCTTCTTGTCTGTCTATTGACTTGTGAATTCTCTTTCCACCATTAAATCTTAGGTTGAGAACTGATTGTTTGCATTGCTACTCTGTAGGCATGCCTTCTTGCAGATATAGTACAGTACTTTGTTGACGCTAAGCTAGAATTTGACACATCCTACATTTATGAAGATGTTGTTCGTGCAATTGATCATGTCCATCGAAGTGGCCTGGTTCATAGAGGAATTCTATCCGATCCACATAGATACTTAGTTAAAAATGTAAGTTCAAACCATTTTACGCATTTTCTTTAATTAGTATCCATGAATGCGTTCAATAGATGCTGCAATAAGTGGTCCACAATATGAATAAAATCTATTTCAGGATCTAGTATCTTAGTCTACTTAAATTTTTTTTTGTGTCTAATTATTATCTAGGTAGACATTGTTTATTCATGTGGTCTTTTTGTCAGATTGAATTATTTTATTCTCTGACTTAGAAATTGTAGTTGTTATTCGTTTGTGGGTGAATATTTCAGGGAAAGATATTGCGTTTTCTTAATATGCTAAAGGAGCGGGGGAAGAAGCTTTTCTTGTTGACTAATTCACCTTATTACTTTGTGGATGGAGGGATGCGTTTTATGTTAGAGGTATTTGATTGACAGGAAACCATATCATGCAATTTGTTTGTTTTAGGGAAGACTTCACTATACCAGTTGAAATTTAATATTTTTTTCTTAATTTGGAAAGTGATATTGCCCAACATCGCTTGAAAATCGTATCTGGTTTAATTGATTCAATAGCTGCAGAGCTCCAACTCTAAAATGCTTATGTGTTGTTTTCTTTCATCCTGTTGCAAATTATTCTTCAAAGAGTTCCAAAAGAATATAGGTGGAATAATGAATTCGATCAGTTATAATTTACGTTTAGATGATGATTGTAATTTGTAATTTACGTTTAGATGATGAAAGAGTCTAGAATGGAGGTCCACTGTACATACTTTTCAGTTTTTTTGCTGATTTCATGCACTATTTTATTTTAATAACTTGTAAAGATGAATATCTAACTTTATCAGAAAATTCTGGAGAATAGGGAAGTTATGGTCTTATTCTTAATTATAAGACATATATCCACAAACCTTATACTAGCGCACACGTCTCAGCAGATGTACAATTGTATGTTCTTCACGATAAGTTTTAGAAGAGTCCCGTATCCTCATTACATCTTCTGTTCTTTATTTTTAAGTTTTAACAAATTCTTCTTTATCAGGGGAAAATGTGTAAAACCAATTATGTTTGAAGTAGTTCTGTTATGACGGCCACATACATCAGTTCTCTACCTGTCCATGATGTCACTACTTCTAACTGTTGACTATAGCCTGGTTTCTCTCTGCCAAATTTCAATTATTTCACTTATAATCATTTAGTGATTTGGAGTAAAATTATAATCTTTAAGATCTTTTCCTCTTGTTATCATGAACAAGAAGCGGGAATTTACTTGAAACCTGGCCTGAATTTTTTAAAGGAAAGGGGCAGCTGTATGGCGGAGTTATGTTATGGTAATGGTACACATAATAGATAGTTAACGATGACACTGACAGTCAGGTCTCTTTAAATTGTTTGGTTGAAAGTACTTTGATTTTAAATGTCATTTTTTGTGGTTCATTATTGTTTTGAACTATTCATTTCTGGACATAATTTCCTTGAATTTATTCTTGACTGTTGATTAGGATTCTATGGATTGTAGAGACTGCTGGACGGAACTGTTTGATGTTGTGATTGCTAAGGCCAATAAGCCACAGTTTTATACATCTGAGCATCCGTTCCGGTTTGTATCCTATACGTCTGATCTTATCCTATATGATATGGTGTTTGTTCTATTTTTTTACTTAACTCTTATTCTGTTCTATTTTAGTAAAGGTTATGCGGGGTCACATTGTGCTGTGGACCTTTTATTTTTATATTAGACTTAAATATGTTTTTAATTTTTATAAAATAATCAACTTATGATTTTGGTTCATATAATTTTTTTTTTGGATTTTTCATCATTCTAAAATTGAAAATTGAAAATCGTTTTTTTTGGTCCTTACTAATATGTGATACTTGTTAACTGCTTAAATGTTTAACTGAAGGTGAAGTGTCCATCCTAAGTAACACTTGCTAGTTTCTATAGTATTATGTGAACGATGAACAATGAACACCAAAATGAACGATTTTAAACTGAAGGTTAAATGCTTACTAATATCTTAAAATGAACGATGAACACCAAAATTAATGATTTTAAACTTTGGAAGGATGAAAATCAAATAAAAGTATTTTAAAAGGACCAAAACTAAAATTTGTTTATTACATGAGGACCAAAAACAATGTTTTCAAATTTTAAAGGAATAAAAAATGAAGAAAAAATTTTAATGGGATCAAAATCAAAATTCTTTCATTTTTGGTGACTAAACATATTTAAGTCTTTATATTATTATGAAAAGAATAAAACTGACTCCAAGACTAGATCATTTGAATGTTGCTCTTTTTAGGATTACAGTGATTAAAGGGGAAATGGAACATACAATCTAGAAACAAATAATTTTCCTGACATGAAGCTAATGCGGATCATTTGCTTTTGCCAAGCATTTTTTACCTTTCATTTCTTTTTGAGTTTATATTCTTGAAGTTTGAGTTCTTTGCAAAGGTCCTGAATATCATCGGCTCTTCCGTGCAGTTATTATGACACAAAGAAGGACACATTAACTTTTACCAAGGTTGATAAATTTCTTCCAGATAAAATATATTATCATGGATGCCTCAAATCCTTTCTCCAGATAACCAAGTGGAACGGCCCAGAGGTATGCTTTATTTGATGTTTGATAATAAACCATGCTATATAATATTTCTGTTTACTTACATGAATTTAACGACAAGTTTTAATCATAAAGAAAATACAGAATTTGACATAAATATTCTTTCACATGGAGGCCCCCTAGAATGCTAAAATTCACTTTTTTCATTAGGTTATATATTTTGGAGATCACCTATTTAGCGACTTGAGAGGGCCCTCAAAGGCAGGTTGGCGTACAGCAGCAATCATCCATGAACTAGAGGCATGTCTTCCATCTAATCCATTTTCAAGTAGATTTTTTAGCTTGCTTGTCATTATTTGTCATGACTTATAGATAGATAAGAGTAGAAATTCCTCTTTCTAAGGATTTCATATAACACCCTGGAAAACAGGCATGAAAATGTTGTATCATATCTTGTTTGCCGATGGCAAATATACAAGGCTTCCAATGAGGTTGGTTCGTTTAACAGCATTTATGATGGTTCATTCATACTTGCCTGTGTTTGTAAAGCAGAAGTCCGAGTTTTGTATCTGTTGGGTGTAAGTGTGAAATATGAACTCATTTATATTGGAGACTCTCCATTCTTATCAGCCTGGCACTTAAGTGTGGGTTCTCCTCTACATCAAGTGGCAACATAGCTTGGTTTATCCATTGCCAGTGCGTATAAGCCACTTGCTTACTTGTCCATGCTGAGTGGTAGTGTAAGTACCCCATTGGATGTGTGTAAGACTCAAAACTCAATTAGCAGTGAAGCTCTTCCCTCTAATCAGCCTAACTTTAGGAGTTACGTGGTTCTTTGCATCATTTGCTTGTTTTGTTCATCAGTTATTATATTGTCGACTTAGACAATGACAATGGCATTATATGCATGTTGTCGAAGATTTTTTTTGATTCATATGCACCTTAGAAAAAGTAAAACTTACTGTTGGTTATGCAGTTGCTACATGATTAATATAATTATGTTTGGAAATTTTATTTTTTAGTTAAATTATGCTTGCTGAATGCTCTTTTAAATTGATATATTTCTTAGTTAGGTACTGATTCATGTAGATGTAGAATTTTTTGTCAAAGTTAACATCAGAAACATAGATATTTATATGAAGTGTGTTTCTTTAATAATGCAGAGTGAAATACAAATACAAAATGAAGACTCCTATCGCTCTGAGCAGGTACCTTCAGATTTTTGTTCATTTTGACATCATTTCTTTGCAACTTCATACCTTCTTGATACATATACTAGAAGGTTTACTGTTACTTTCACTAAGTGGTTGTATTGAAGACTCACCAACTAAAAACTATTTTATTCTTATGTTAAGAGCTTGAGGAGTGAGTGATTCCGGAGAATTTTGGGATCAATAGTTCATAAATTTGTTATTTATCCTGCACACAGAGATTCATTAATTAGTATAAACACGTTTATTATTTTCCCAAGTGTTAAATGGTCATCTATTTGTTTGTTGCCTGTTCTTAGTGAGCACCGACACAAATTATTGCTTTTCACAAAATTTTCCTAAATTAAGGCATGAATAGTAATATGTAAAAGATTTGATATGGAGATTGGGCCAATTTCATGATTATGAGACCATTCTAAACCTCACTAAGTTCCGTACATGCATGATTCTAATTGAAAAGTCAACAGATGAACTGCAAATGCATATGTTCTTACCCTGCGAAATGCTAGAACTAGACTTTTTTTAAGAAGTAAATCAAATTAGTGCTTAAATTAACATTTCTTCTATTTCTAAGCTTGCTTGTATGTTGTAACAAAATGGTAACACTTCCCTGCCTTCCACTTAAAATCCCAATGTTTTGGAACCTATGGACATTGTGGAAGTTAATACAACCACACGAGTGATTCATCTTGGATTTGAGTCCTACATTTGAATTTAATATTTTTGAGAAAAAGGCTTAAATGAACATGTTCTTATTGTAATGAACTTATCATAGAATATTCATAATTCTGCGTTTCGGTTGATTATTAACAGTGTAATTTCTTTCTTCAACTGCTTTTGAAGCTGTCACATTTGATGCATTATATCTTGTTGAAAAATGCAGGCAAAGTTTCATATAATACAAGAACTACTTGGTAAATTGCACGCAACTGCATCTAATAGTCTGAGAACTACAGCTTTCAATTCACTTCTGGAAGAACTTAATGAGGAGAGACAAAAAGCACGCAACAAGATGAAGATGATGTTTAATAGATCTTTCGGAGCAACATTCCTGACAAGCACAGGACAAGAATCTGCTTTTGCTTATAACATTCATCAGTATGCAGATGTGTATACCAGTAAGCCAGAGAATTTTCTTCTGCATTCATCTGAAGCATGGCTTCATGTTCCATTTGATGTCAAGATCATGCCCCATCATGTGAAGGTAATCCATTTCTTCATAACAGTTGATGTCACTAAACCGCATGCTCTGTTCTCTTAAAAAACTGAAGAAAATTCTTCTTTGTCCCGTGCTTCCTGTTTTTGGGTTTATTATTTCTAAAGCTCAGTTTCTTTCTAGAAAATCATAGATTTTCTGAGTTATAAACTTGATTGCCTCAAAACTTTAGCCATTGAAAAAAAAAAAAAAATCCCTGTCATTTAGTATTGACTTGATATAATTATGAATGATCTAAAACGAATGTGGAATTGTCAAGTTGTTATTATAGTTTTAATTAAATTTTTAACTTTTACACCATGTATTTTAACTTCTCCCATGACTTTGAACTATGTTCCACTGTGTTGGGAACTAAAGTCTGTCAACTTGTTGGTCCCTTACATATGCTGGCTGCCATTATTCAGTAGTTGCTGACATCATTTAAGAATTTATTAGTCACTCTAGCTTGGAAAAGCGTTATAGGTTTAGTCCCTTACACCTCAATGGCTTGACAGTTCGCAAGGGTGGTGATGGATTTGTATGCGATGCATGAATAATATTTACATATTTCCTGCTTCCTCCTGCTTTTTCCTTTATATAACTTTCCGTTTATCCCCTTTTTTTTTAGGTTCCGTCAAGCTTGTTCAGAACCGGATGAACGGTTCTCGAATCATTCAACTGCTACCAGTGGCATTCCGCGGATCTAATAACGGAATAATATGATATGGCGATCCAAGTATGCATCTAATTAGTGAGAGGTGCAACTGGAAGATAATTGTTGCGGTAGTAACGTACATTCAATTTTTATTCTTTTGTTCTTGATTCCCTCATTTATCTTGGCTTAGCTAACTTTGTTTGCTATGCTTCAATAGATTATTGATAGAGAAATAAATCAGAAAAAAGAAAGCCCCATTACATGTAAAAGGGTTTATTTCTTTATGTTAACATTCATTTTAAAATAAGAATAAAGTCCTACCTGCATTATTTCCCTCAGCACTAAGATTTTAGAAAGATATGTAAAAATGGAGATAATTCAGAGTGTCATTTATTCTTTCAAAATCTTTGTAATAGAGAAAGTCAGAAAGAAGAAATGGATAGAGAAAGAAATGGGGAGATAATTTCCTGTGACACGGTTCATAAGCTGCCCTACCAACATAGCTAACTCAACTCAAATACGGTTTAAATTTATTCATTTATTTATATAAAAATAGACTTAATATTTATAAATTTATGTCAATTTTAAAAAAAAATATTGAAGCTTAGATGTTTAATTCATTGTTGTATATTCAGATGATTTTATTAAAAAAAATATTTGCTACCAATGTAAGCAGAACATTCATATATGAATGATACATTAATATAAGGGAAAGATATACTTACTCAGGAAATAATTCTGAATATTACTTTGCTCAATAAATTACGGTTAATGGTTAATATTGAATCTCAACAATTCAATTGTTAAAATAAAAGTTTTCATTAAATAAATAAATCAAGTTTATAAATTTTTATAAAATTTAAAAATTATTTAATATTTTATTATAATAATTCAAATTGACATATGTTCATACATGTATATTATATGTTAATTTGAACATATATAACAAAATATCATACAATTTTTAAATTTTGTAAAAATTTAATTTATTGATTAAAATATTTTAATTTAATAATTAGATCGTTAAAATTTAATGTAGACAAAGAATTACATTATTTCAAAACTAACTTTCAATAAAATTACTGTTTTTGATAATTGATAAATTAAATATCTATCTTATGTGGGATTATTTAATTACTATGTTCACAGAAACAATAATAATAAATTGATCAGAACAATTGAGAAATATTCAAATACCTTAAAAGCTAATTATATCCAAGTAATTATGTTGGAGTTGAGTTGTATAACTTCTCACCTACTTTAACTAGGACTTATTGGTGCACAAATCCCTTATATATTTTTAAAGAAAGAGAATTAATATATGATCTATTCGAAGCTACGATGAGTATAAGAATGATGCATAATTTTTAACATTATCTCAATAACCATGTCAAATTTTAAACAAATTAGACATTTGTAATTATATAATCTTATAAACAGTATTATTTACTTATATACTAAAAAAAATTATAGATTAAATTAATTTATTTAATAAAATATCAAATCATTTTAAAACTTTATAAAATTTATAGAATTAATCAACTCATTAATTGTTAACTTTACAGATTATATATACGACAATGAAGATGAAACTTGAGTTTTCATTCATAAAATGTAATGTATAGACAATAATTCATTCATAAAATATAATAATGTATATACATAAATTTATTGAATAGTATCTTATTCTTGTGTATATATATAAAATCTAAGGAGTACATCCACTTATTAAATTATAAACTATTTTGAAATTTTAATAAATAAATTTAATTTAACTTATAATATGCTTTTTTTAAAATATATAATAAAATATAATGTGAGCTACAATATTACATAGCTTCAAGCATTTGATTTATTTAAAATTTAGCACACATACCTGTTGAGATTATATTAAAATTTTCAATAATTGGATTAATAATTTTTAAACTATATATATAATATAATATAATTAGTGAGAATCAAGAGGAAAACAAAGGGCTACATATATAAAATGGAGTATTAAATGAAGAGGAAAACAAAATAAAGACTTCATATATAAAATTTGCAGGCTAAATGTGACCAAACCAAGGGCTGGTGTAATACAAACTAATTTGGTGAGAGGAATATATTTATCAAGCCTCAGAATTTAATGATGACTTGCAAAACGTTAGTCAACTACAAATTTAGTTGCGAGACCTTCATTCCATTTAAATTGTCTGAATTTTTGCATTTCATAACTCCATTATACAATATTTTTGGAAATGCTAGTAACTATATGATGCTATGAAACACACCTCCCAGAGCTGGTGCCAAATCTAATGCTCTGCAGATGGACTGTTTTTATTTGAAATTTTTGGTTGTTAACAATCATTATTCATTTTACCCCACTTTCGTTCTATATGGTACAACAATAGGAACCAAAACTAATACAGAGGTTTTGATCCTTTCTTCAAGCTTCGAGAACATTCTGATCCACTCTTTCTTTCTTTTCTGATAACATGGCAGCATGATGCTCCAAGTATTCCCTGCTGTTAATCTCTGTCAGTCTGCATGATATTTATGTCACAATCAGTAATTGCAACAAATATATTCGTGTACATGTAAGAATAGTGGTGGTTCTCTTTAGGTATCTTCTAAATTATATTGCACTGACAATATCTCAATCTCTAGAGTCTGTTCCTGATCTTAGATGCTCATATAAATAATATTAAGATGAGAGATTCCAACTCGTATCAGTTGGCAGGTAACACAATCAAAATTGTAACAAAAAATGATTAATTAGTAGTTTTTATGGGGGGGATAATATCATGCCTACTAATGGTGCGGTCTTTTGCAAACCCCAATTCATTGTCCACACAAAGGGAAGAATCATCATTTTTCCTCGATCTTGAAGAGGTTCTGGGTGCCATATTTTTAGCCTCGGATATTGTTACTATTTTTTCAAAGAGATCTTGAGGGCTCCCATCAGCTGTACACATTAGTCTGGCCTTGTTTTCATATATCACCTGTAACCACAGTGAAACAAAGCATCGTTCCTATTCTACTCTCACCATAGGAAAAGGAAAGAAATATAGAGGGTAGAAAAAAACATATGATTATTCATCCCAACATCTCATCACAGTGGCCTAAGCTTCAAGTTCTTAGAAAATCTTTAAAATTTCAACCTCAGGCATGAAACTTTCAATCATAAGAATTCTTGGCTGTTTGATATTTTGGTTACACATGCAGAATTTTATTCTTCAGTTTTTCTAGTCAAAAGTCAACATCCTTTCCGCCACATTATAAGACATATTTACAAATAGGAAGACACAAAGCAACAAGCTCTCAGTCAGATCAAGAAAGACAAACAGAACAATTTGCATGAGAAATGCTAACAACAATCTTTGACACACTTCTAACACACTATTATCAAGTGAAATTCATGAAGAAACCTACTAAAATTGGGAGTGAGACCTCCAAATTCACTAATTCAGGATACCCATGAGATTCACTCGACAATAAAAAGTGGGTGCTAACATTCAAAGTGCACTGTTAGCATTACATAATGTTTGGTTGGATGGGAATGAAGGGGAGAGGAGAGGGGATTTTATAAAATTTTCTTATTTGGTTCAATTTTTAGGAGGGGAGGAAAATGGAGGGAAGCAAAACTCCTCTATATCTATTTTAGCTCCCCTCCATTATTGGGGGGATTTGGAGGGGAAAAGAGGGATTTTTTAAAACATTTTTAGCATAATATCTAAAATATCTTGTGTTTTTAAATTTAAAATTATGAGGATACAAAGGTAAATTGGTTTTTAAAAATCTCTCTCCCTTCCCTTTCTCTCCCCTCCTTGGAACCAAACAGACCTTTAATCGTTGTATAATACCAGAGGTATCAAACAAGGGGCTGGCTCATGGCTAGATCTTACCTTAAGCAGAATAAAATATTAAAATATAAAGGTTTAGGTTTAAACATGAACAATCCATATAGAATGGCAAGGGACTTACATCAACTAAAGTGACAAACCTATGTGCAGCTGATTTATTGTGAAGCCCAAAAATTGGAATGCCTTCTAATGCCAAGGTATGAAATTTCTCTGTGAAAACAAAAAAACAAAACATTCTGTGAACATTGATTAATGGGTTTAATATACATTAGCAGTTGGGCAAAAGTATGAAAAAAACAAATATTTAAAGAGGAAACCAAAACTACCACAATGGGAATAAACAAAGTTTACACAAAAAATGAATTCGGGTATCTGACTTTTATCATGTTCCAAACTTAGTTACTTTCATCATTCCCATATGCAATACCCAGCGAACAACATAACTGTATCCATTGTCTTTTATATAGGACATAAAAGATGTAAGCATGAGGAAAATTGCTCAAAAATGTCTTACTGAATAACCCAAAATAGTCTGCAGCCCCAAGAGGTCTATCACAAAGTTCTTCAAAAGAAAAATAGGCACATCCATTAGCTCCCAATGGAACCTAATGAAGAAAATGAACACAGCTTAAAATTGACAACAATAGTGATTGTGTGCTCTATCTCTGTAATATCAAATTTAGCACATACATGGAGTGTCCTTCCCATCACTACTTCTACTTCTTGGGGGGTAGCGGTGCCTTCTCCAATCAACTGTTGAAAGTTTTGCTTAAGCAAGGCAGATAAATCTCTGCCGACCAAATAAAATCCTTGTTTACCCTGCAGTCCAAATTTGCAGAAAATAAAAATTGAAGAACCATAATCAGAGATTAGTGCATTTACGGACACAAGATTTTAGATGTAGTACCGAAGTCATTTTGCGGTAGTCAATTGATGAACCAATCTCATGTACTACACATCTTTCCTACAGGAGTATACATATATTAGGCAATTACTAAGAGAATAAAAGAACATATAGAAAAATATAAATGTGTCCTGGAGTCTTTACTTTCTTTCACAAAACAGAGACCATCAGAATTCAGTAACGGTATTATTTGACAGTAGATAAAATCATAAATAGATTTAGGCTTATGCCAGCATTGACCTGAAGCCAATATAACATCGCTCCGAGCTACGAAAACATCCAAATGCATACCTTCAATGATGCAATGAAGGGTAGAAAGAGATCCCTCTGCAATCCACCCTCATATAGGTTATCTGGAGCACGATTTGATGTGGCTACTAGAATCTATACTTGTCCAAGCACATTGAAAAAATGGAATTTTGAAATTAATTAGACAACAATTCCATAATTATTGTTTAGAGAGGGCCACTACACAGTTATATTACTTACAATGCCTTTGTTGAACAAATGTCTAAATAAGCGATTTAGTACCAATGCATCTGCTACATCTGTTACCTATGCAAAACCAAATAGTAACATATATCAAGGTGTAATAGCATCAAATAAAATATGCATGGTCAGAAAGAAATAGATGTTTTACTAATACTTTACCATAAATTCATCAAGACATAATAAAATTGCATCATCAGAAATCTCTCCTGCAACAACATCAAGTGGATCTGACAACCCCTTATGCTTCTACAAGGATACACAATACGAAATTTGAGATAGGCTTACAAAGATAACATCATTCTGGAAACTGCTAACAAAAAATTAATGCTCAAAGCACAAGGCTTCTTTTGTATACTTGAAGAATTTTAAAACAAATTCTTCCTTCAAAAATATACACAACTATCGGAACTTGACCCTACATAAAGTAATGATTTCAAACAACAAAATAGACACAAGAAATGCAATTTGATTGTAGCTTACTTATATTTATTATCAACAGTAACTGTATTGGAAAAACTGCAGTTTAACATGTAATAGAAATAAATAGCTCCTGCTCCCTTTATCTACTTGTAATTAACAGGTTCAGTAAACTTACTTGTAACAAGCTATGTACATTCAACATAAAGTCATGAAAATGAATCCTCTTTTTCCTCCAATTAGAGGGCCTGATAAGAGACAGCCGGTGAAGACAGTCAGAGTGTAAACCCTCATAAGAACACACTTCCATAGTATATTCTAAAAATGCCTCATATTCTTCCTATATTGAGAGTTGAAAAGGTATGACAACTCAATGGTATAAAACAATAGCAAATGAGAAAGAAAAAAAATCAATGGAAAAGAAATTCATTTCAAACTCACAATTGATTGAAAAACAGGTCCATCAGCATAGTTTTACCAGTACCCACTCCTCCATAAAGATATAAACCTTTTACAGGTGAGTAAGAAGGATGTGACAATAGACGCGACCACAGCCACCCACTCCTGCAAAACCAAAAGTCAAATTAAATTCAGAAATCAAACAAGATGTGAAAGATAAGATTCAACATTTTGAGCAGACATACCAGCACGAAGCAAGATAGAAACTGAAAGAATGAAATTCATACCTTACAGGCTTTTCAGAATTGCGATCCAATTGGCAGGTGTCCACATTCTCAACAAGTTCATCATGTAGTCTCTGAAGTTCTGTCAAAGTGTCTACCTGTTTCAAAAGAAAAGAAAAATTGCTTAAATAAAGGAAAGGAAGATTGGGCAGAACAATTACCAATTAAGCGCCACGAAAAATAATACATAATAATAGTAATATCCAACAGCATATTAACAACAAAACATGCTAGGAAAATCCGTTTCAGCAATGAAATTAGGCATTAATGAAATGTAGACACTCTACCTGGCAAGCATCACCTTCTACAAGTTCACCACCAGCAATTCTTCGTTCATACTCGACAAGAGGCCCAGCTCTGTTTGATTCTGTAACCGAAACAACAAATTCCAAGACAAAAAGACATAAGAAGAGAATGAAGTTTCAAACCCTCCTCAATCCAGCACACTGACAGCAAAAAAATGAGAACCTCTATTTGCGAGTTTTGCAGCACCAATCGAGAGAGCTCTCGTGGTGGTTGTAAACAAATGGTTTTTGAAAAAGTTGGTCTCAGCATGATCAACACCTCCACAAGCTGAACTATGAATATGACAGCTCTTCCCAAAGTGACATGGAGGTTCTGCAACATTAACACTACCGATCAAAACACAATCTTGCCTCTGAATGAGTGGTCGCAATTGTCGCAGAGAACGAAGCACGTTCCTCATCTTCAACTCCACTCCCAACTCCGACAAGAACCACAAGCTTCAGACCAATAAACCCTACCAAAAAAAATAAATCCAAGAACCCCTGAAATCAGAAACACTAATAACTCAATTTTGAATCATAACAATTCCTCAATAACCAAAAATAAAAAATAAAAAATTCTTGATATGCAATTGAAAAGGTCTTTGACTTTGATCAAGAATTATTATAATCATAATAATTAAAAATGAACAAATTTCAAGAAATCCCTGAAATCAAAGTCACTAATGTATCAGAATAATTTCTCAACAGCACAAAATTAAGTTAAAAAAAAAAAAAATCTCGATAGTACAAGATTTAAAAAAGGTTTTTCACCTTTACCACAATTACAGAACTTAGTGAGAAGATTCAGACAAATAACCAATTTAACCTCCCAACAAAATGTCACAAACATGCATCATGCAAGAAAAACCGAACTTAGTTAAGACAAGATAAACCGCCATATTTCCAATTCGTTCCAGTATGTAGCAAAATTGCGGAAAAGGGACAAAACAGTAAAAAAAAATATTATAAGCAAAAAAAAATCACCTGAACGGAGGTAAGAGCACTCCCAGAAAACAGGAAGAAGAAGTAAAAAAAAAAAAGAATAGAGAAAAGCGAGTCTTGCGTGAAGAGAGAGAGAGAAAGATCGTGATTAGGATGATCTTGATAACAGAGCTTGGTAGAGCGATTGGTGTTTTCAAGTTTCACCCTTCAATTGCATTCCACGTTGGCTTTGCAATATTTGACACACGCTCTCGCTGGCACTTCATTTAAAATAGGAGAATCCGATAAAAAAAATGAAGGTGGTGATGCAATGGAACTAACTTAAAAGCTAAACCTGCAACAACATGGGAAATTGCCTTATTATGCCTACACTTATAATATTCATCAAATGTGGTAAATATTCACATGCCATCCACATCGAGGCCCCATTTAGCTTAAGGTCAGCACCTTTTTTTTAGTTTGTTTTTGGCATCAATTGGGTCCATATCCTTCTTCCCTGCCCTTTTTATTTTAATCCTGGGCCCACCTTTTCTCCTAATCCGCATGATGACATTTGTATTCATTTTATGGAATCACTTTTGGATTTTTTGCGTGAGATTTCGTATAATTTCTTTTTAAAATTATTTGTACCAAAATATCCTCGGATCTTCTCTTAACTAATTTTTCTTCATACAGACAGTTAAACAATTGAATCTCTTTTTTTTTTTTTTATAATATTTTTTTGATCCTAGTTATATAATTGAATCTATGAACGTTTCAATACACTTAAGAATCTAATTTAGCTATTATGTTATTGTTAGACGTTGTTGCTAAAAAATATATATAAATGGTTAAGATTCATAATATTTTACTTTTTTTTAGTAGTTGGACGTTATTAAGTTAATAATTAATGAAAAGCAATGTAGAGATAATATAAAACTAAAGAATAAATACTTTCTTTGTATTGTAAGTTTGTAACATGATAAATATTTATGGAGAACGAACAAAAATAGTGGTCCTACAGTTTCTGCTTCTACCAACATACTACTACTTGAAAACTTGAAATGTATCCAGTGGGGGCGAGTGCATCTTATACTCTTCCATTTTTGAAAAGACAAAATATAATATGAAAAAAAAAGAATTTTTAAATAATTCTGTGTCAAAAATTTACTGTTTGTTTTGTTATATTCCACTTTTATTATAGAAATATATCATGTGAATAAAAATAATTAAAAAATAGGATCTCATATTAATATTCTTTCTGTACTAAAATAATAATTTAGTTATAATATAATTATAACATTTTTTTTCATATTATAACCTAATTATATACTTTTATGAAATTAAAATTTATTAATTTTATGGTAAATATTTTAAAATTATTTTTTCAATTGATTAATTAATATTATAAAGTTTTGTACATCAACAAAATATTGAAAATAAACTATTAAAAAAATTAACTTGTAGTTCCGCACAATAATAGAGCCAAAAACTACTTGCAGGAGGCATCTTTTTTCACGTGGTCAAATGAACTTGTTTTCACCATTACCAATAATTTCATTAAATTTATAGCTTAAAAAATTGCTTCTTGTGTTATTAAAAGTGTACTTATATGAATAAAAAATGCATAAATAAAATAAACATCTATTTTCTTTTGTTGCTTTAGAAAACTCTATTTGTACCTTGTTTTTTGTTTTATATAAAATGGCATAGAATAATAAGGAATAAAAAAAAGAAATAATTTTATTTGATTTGTTTGAAAAATTGTCGCGTGTGAATAACGTGTGTTTATAAGGAATGACAAATGAGGAATTCCCGGAAGCAATAAAACATTGAAATTGAAAGCGGTGTTGTGATGGATTCGAACCACAATTCCCAGGTTTGGGTTATAGTATTCTCGTAGACGCTTAATCAGCATAAAATAATACCCACCATTCACATCCACGCTGTTTCCAATCTTTAATTAGTCATCATTACTCTTGTTTTCTCATTCATGAATATACTTTTCATTATTTTAATCCAATGCTTACTTAGTAATTTACCCTTACGTGAATCTAAATCAAGAAGCACCATAACGCCAAAGGTCCATTGGGCTAACTACACTCTTTAGTTTAGAGCCCAATGCAATATGATGGGCCTGAAGGCCCATTTTCGAAGTTCGGGTGTTCTGTTCTGTTTCACCGAACAGAAGCTGAAGCAGAATCAGAACTGCAGTAGCGTGTGGTTGTTGGGGGAAGGAGAGAGATGGCGAATCAGGGCGCTAAGAAGCGGAAGGAAGAGAACGCTCGTCACATGGCTAGACTTCGCCACATCATCATCGCCTGCAACGTACTCTCTTCTTCTCTTTAATTGTAATTGTTGCAGCCACCAATTGTTTTTTCGATGATACCGTTGATTGATGACCTAATTCTAGGGTTTTGTTTTGAATTAATGTATAGGTTATCTATGTATTGTTAAGGATGTTGGTGTTCCATTCGAGTTTCACATGGAAGCATTGGATTGGGTTGGCTGTGACTTCCTTGGCATATGTTATTCCCTATCAACAGCTTGCGAAGATGGCTACCCCTAGTTATGCTGATGATGGTGAACTTTTAGATGGCGGCTTTGATATGTCTACAGGTGGAGTTTGTGGGTATGTCTTTACTGTTGTCTCGTTTTAGATCAAGATTTTGATTCCTCAACAGGTTCCTCTTATAATTGCTCATGTATCTTGGATAACGATGCTCCATGTTTCTATTTAGTTTCATGTTTGTTTGTTGTTGGGCTTAGGATCCTGTCTTATTGGGAAAATTGTTTTTAGTGATTTCTTTGGTAATTTTTTTATCTCTTATGTTGGTGTGTGATATTTACATTTTGTTATTCACTTACTGTGAGTGATCTTTTGCAGGTATTTACACGATGTTATCTACATAACATGCTTTGTGCAAGTCATGTCCATCGTCTCTGGAAAGTTTTGGTACACCTATCTTACGGTTAGCTTCATAATCTGATCGCTAATGTGCTGTACATTTAGAATATATAGGTTTTGTAACTGTTATTGTTATAGTTTTGCACTGCCACTACTTCAAAGAATGCTGTCTTAGCTTATCAACTAGAGATTTTTTATACATCAGCCTTGGCTGTGTGTTTGTATATGTTCCATCTTGCATTGTAGTTAGACTTGGGTTTATTTACCATAAAGAAGTATTATCCAACAAAGAGAGACACCAGAGAGAATAAGTTCCTTGTAAGTGCATGATGCATATATTTTATCGGCTAAAATACAATTTTGATCCTCTTCAAATATCAAATCCGCAATTTTAGTCCTTAAGTTTTATAAAATTCACAATTTTGGTTTCCTCGCTAAATGTCTATTCATTGATGATTGATTGTTAAAATTATAATATCTCTTGACCTAACATTAGGTAGATGACATGATAAGTAATACTACCTCTGGTCCTTTTTATAAGAAACAAGTGGTAGTGTATTTTACACTATTACTTATTTCTTATAAAAAAATATAAAATAAAAAAAAGACCAGGGGGTGTATTCAATAATATTTTGGTTAAATTGTATTTTTAGTTCTTATTTTTTTTCATTTTTATCTCATTTTACTTCTTTTAAGAGATAAAAATGAGAACTAAAAGTGAAATTTAGTCTAAATATTATTAAATAATAATAATTATTATGTCACATGTAAAATCATGACTAATGTTACAGTTTTAACGATCAATGAATAAACATTCAATGAAGGGGAAAAGAATTGCGGATTTTATAAATTGGGGGAGTAAAATTCTAGAATTAAAAAGAGAGGTCAAAATTTTATACTAGGAAGACAGCAAAAGATGGTGTCATTTATCATTTAATCCCCTAATAAAGTCTGACATGGTTGAAAAATAATTAGGTCTCATAAGTATGCTGACCAAGGTGCGATTCCTAGTCATGTGTATGAAAAACACTTTGTTTGGAGAGACAAATTTCACTTTGATGATCTCTACATTTCAAAAGATATTAATCTCCAACTGTTAGCTAAGGGATGTCCTTGGTGCATACACACATTTAATCCCAAGTGAATGTTGTTACCCGGACAAAGTAGTTTGCTCATTTATATTAGATTATTTATTGCTGTACAAATTCAAATGTGGTTGATAGTACTGGACTGCAATCATCTGCATTCTGCAGTTCAGAAAGAACTGTGCACTATCATGGCCCTTATAATTACTTAAAGTTTATAACCAAAAGAAAATTGTAAATTTGATAAGTTGTGAGCTATTGAATTTGAAACTACTTTGTGTTGGGTTCTTACTGAATTGAAGAAGATTGTAGTCCTGTTGGGCTGGGGACTTCTTGATTTTTTACTTTGTTTTGCCCTTTTATGCCCAAAATATGCTGTAAGAAGTTGCAGTTGTAATCAGTCACCACCAAACTTAATATTATGTAAAAACTTGCAGTTGTAATCTGTAACTCGATGTGCTTGACTGACATACGAAATAGTGAAACCCTTTAAGCATTAGAAAAGAGAATACTACAAACTACAGATCAAGTCAGTGACAATTTCCCTTGCTTGTCATTTGCCAGATACCAGCTTTTGGAGCATACAAATCCTTTGGCTTGATTAAAGGATTTTTGCCAGGAGGTTCAGAGGTACGGTCACCTTGTTGATTCATTTGTACATTTATAATAATAATAATAATAATAATAATAATAATAATAATAATAATAACCTTATTAACGTCAATTTTGTATGTCATTTGTGAATTAGGAATCATTTGAAGATGAAAAGACCCGCAAGAAGAGGGAAAAGATGGAGAAGAAGGCATCAAGACCCAAGTTTGTCAAGTCAAGAACTAGATAGTTTGTTTGAGTGTACGGCACCCAATTACACAATGTAACCCAATATCCAAGATTCACGGAGGTTGCACTGAAACATGAACTGAAACATGAAACTTATTGAGAGCACACGCTGCACAAAGTCTAAGTTGTATTTCATGTATAACAAATCAATTTCTTTTTTCATGCTCTCCAAGAACATGTATGCTTACACAGTTTAGAAAGCTAACCTTTGGGATATTGGGATTAAGAGTTATCAATTACAGGAGATTCATCATCTTTATTTCTTTCTAGAGTTAATGACGTGGAGTTGCTTAAATGGAGTTTAATCTTGGGGTTGGAAATCCTACATAGGTGTCATAAACGGAGCATTCTGTATGATAGGTAGCTAGCATATGAAAACCTCATCACCCTTCAAAATGAAAACGCACTATTTCTTAATCTATTGTCGCACCATAAAAAGCCAAACATCATATATGGAGGAAAATGATAAGACCGCTAATTACCCTTTACTCCTTTAAAGTCCTTTTAGGTGTTGAATTAATTCCATAGTAGATGTTACCTTTGCCAGATTATATGGTAACGTGCCATCACAAAGTTTGGGCATATTTCCTGATAAGAATTAGAAATTTTAGTTTGGCCATATTTCCTGATAAGAATTAAAAATTTTAGTTTACTCGATCAGACATGCAATTTACTGAATTTAGCTAAGCACAAATTTAAATTGCTTTTGTTTTAGTTCGCGTGGTACAGATATTCTCCTCTGTGAATCCACTAAGATTAATGGAGTGATGGTCCTAAAATATATTTTATAAAGTATTAGTTTATTGACAAGGAGTTTGAGTAGTTTGTGTGAAAAATTATAAGTTCAAACTTGTCATTGCTGTTGAGAATTGCCTTTGGAAGTTGCATATTTTTAGGAATATTTCAGATTTGTTTTAGTTTGAATAAGTCAATTTAATTAGAATTTATCATTAGTCGTTAGTGGTCGTTAGTGGACTATCTATTTCTTATTTTTCAGCTAAGTTATTAGTAGTGGTTGCTAGAGTCACGGGATGTGATCTCTAAGTCAGTTATTTTCAATGTATTTAAATTAAATTGCATTGAGATAAATATATACAGTTTTCACATCCAGCACATTCAATCTACTTTTTCACTCTCTCTATTTGTTCTCTGTATTGCTCTGTTAGCATTTGCCTTTCCTCCCTAAAACCAACAATTGGTATCAGAGCCCTCTTCTTGAGGGACCTGTGTGTTTCTACATTGTCATGGAACCTGAAACAAGCTTTTCCCAAGCTACTCTCCCAGTCTTTGATGGGGAAAATTATGACCTCTGGGCAGTGAGGATGGAATCTTACTTGGAGGCATTTGATCTTTGGGAGGCTGTGGAAGAGGATTATGAAATTGAATAAGTAGTAAAGTTTCAAACTATGACGTGATTGTATATGCTTTTCACGCATCCACATCCAAAAGCTCATAATTATGGTAACAACACGTTTCCGTGTTCCCAATTAATTAGTGTGATGGCATTTTCATCACTAATTAATGGTGTTAGTCTTATATAACAGCTGATGTGAGGGACAGCTTCTTATAGCATTTCCAATAAAAGCAACTTATTTGAGTTGTTTTATGTATTGAAAAATGAAAAAGTGATCTTAAGTGTGTCATGTCAGTATTAAGTAAATTAAATACAAATTTACTCTAATGATAAGAAATTTTAAGAAATTCAACTTTTAGAATTTTTTTTCTAATCATTTATGAACCAATTTTAAATTTTTATTAAAAAGGATAATTGCACTACAATGAAAGAAAATAAATTACGATAAAAAATATACAATAAGTAGATATTAAAAATAAACTAAAGAAATAGTAAATACATAGACATTATACGAAATTAATTTTTATCATTATTATTTCTGAAACGTTCCCAAATATGTTCAATAAGATCTGGTTGAAATCTGGTAAGGAACGGTTGCTTGAGGAAACAATTCTCTCTTCATTAAGCAACTCATGTTGCCACGTCAGAGTCCTCCAATAACAAGAAACCGAGACTTGAGTTGTCTCATGGGACAAACAACTCCCATTGAAGTTGCTCTTATTGCGCTTCAAAAAGTAGTAGGGAGGGTTTCTACTAGCTAGTTCCTTATATTTCTTTAAAAGAGAAATTTTATTAATCAGAGTATAAAAGAAAAGATATTCAACTCATTATTTTATGTTCCAAGTTGTTGATATAAGTATAAATCATCCATAAAGTGTTGCTTACCAAAGACGACATTGCGAATTGATCATGAAAATACTTTTTTGAATTCTAAAATATGCAAGAAGCTTCATTTTATATTAAGATTTAAGAAAAATTACATAAGTTTTGTCCTTGTTAGATTTCATTGTAACATTAAGGAACCCCATGGATTATATTACCCTTGTGCTTCTTAATAAAGTTTAGCTTAATAAAAAATTATTCTAAAGATACTTCATTTTGATTAAAATTAACATTTTATTTGACAATAAGATCTGGTTGAAATCTGGTAAGGAACGGTTGCTTGAGGAAACAATTCTCTCTTCATTAAGCAACTCATGTTGCCACGTCAGAGTCCTCCAATAACAAGAAACCGAGACTTGAGTTGTCTCATGGGACAAACAACTCCCATTGAAGTTGCTCTTATTGCGCTTCAAAAAGTAGTAGGGAGGGTTTCTACTAGCTAGTTCCTTATATTTCTTTAAAAGAGAAATTTTATTAATCAGAGTATAAAAGAAAAGATATTCAACTCATTATTTTATGTTCCAAGTTGTTGATATAAGTATAAATCATCCATAAAGTGTTGCTTACCAAAGACGACATTGCGAATTGATCATGAAAATACTTTTTTGAATTCTAAAATATGCAAGAAGCTTCATTTTATATTAAGATTTAAGAAAAATTACATAAGTTTTGTCCTTGTTAGATTTCATTGTAACATTAAGGAACCCCATGGATTATATTACCCTTGTGCTTCTTAATAAAGTTTAGCTTAATAAAAAATTATTCTAAAGATACTTCATTTTGATTAAAATTAACATTTTATTTGATTTACTAATTAATGAAATATTGTTCAACTTGTCCTTATTAGTATAACTCTTTTTTTTTTTTGAAACAACAAAATAAATTGAGGTAGCACTAGGGGTGCCACAACCCAATATTACAAATTACAGGTTATTAATAATTTAGTTCATTTGAACCAAATTACTGCATAACTTTTCTTTCATTGTAGTGCAATTATCCTTTTTAATAAAAATTTAAAATTGGTTCATAAATGATGAATTTTTTTTCTAATCATTTATGAACCAATTTTAAATTTTTATTAAAAAGGATAATTGCACTACAATGAAAGAAAATAAATTACGATAAAAAATATACAATAAGTAGATATTAAAAATAAACTAAAGAAATAGTAAATACATAGACATTATACGAAATTAATTTTTATCATTATTATTTCTGAAACGTTCCCAAATATGTTCAATAAGATCTGGTTGAAATCTGGTAAGGAACGGTTGCTTGAGGAAACAATTCTCTCTTCATTAAGCAACTCATGTTGCCACGTCAGAGTCCTCCAATAACAAGAAACCGAGACTTGAGTTGTCTCATGGGACAAACAACTCCCATTGAAGTTGCTCTTATTTCTTTCCTCCCTAAAACCAACAATTGCACTGAAAAAAAAAACAAAAAAACAAGTCTCCTATATTCTATGGGTTCAAATCAGAATGGAGGTCTGACAAAACTCTCATTTCAGAATCCGAAGGAATACATAATTGAAAAAACATAACAAAAAATAAAATAAAATGGGACCTGAAAATTGCTATAATCTGTAAACAGGACACTGGAGAATGGGAGAGTTAGCACTAATTTACACTCACCCGTCAAGAAGTTCACAGTCAATCCTCTGAAAATACACACGCATCCCATTCAAGTCATAACCTACATTATAATTCTGTTGAGCCAACATTCCAATAGAAGAAAAACTTTCATAGTCATCTCCAAAATAGTTTCCTGGAAGCACAGCCATGCAAAATACATTCTCTGAGGTCTGTATGAACATACTTGCTGCATCCAAGTCCAAAACTGCACCCTCCGCAAAATGGAATGTCACCACTGGAAATCCACTTAAATCTCGGCTTACTACACCATTATAGCATAATGTATAAGTGTTGTGCTTATCTTGGGCCAAAACCCCTTCAAGAAGGTTCTCAACTTCAAAGCTGAGCACTTCAAATCCATATTTTGTAAGCCACGTGTGGTCTGCTCCAGAGTCAATTATTACTCCACTGTTATTATCTGTTGCTGATCTTTCAAACACAGTTGAATCTATATCAATCTTTTTCCCACCTATACTTATAGCTTCTAGGTTAACATAATACAAACCATTGATTACATTCAAAGTTGTTGAGTCACCTTGCATATTGGCTTTGTCCCCCAAAACCAATTTGTTAAATTTATAATTAGCGTTTCTTAAATTGCCAATACAATATGAAAATTTCTTACCAAAGCTAGGAAGCAGAGAAAACCTTCCACTACCAAGTCCAAACACCCCATTGATTCCTTGGTAGGGGTAACCATTGGATGATATGCTAAACTTGCGACCACAGCCAAATATCAAACTAGGCACTCTCACTATGCTCTCATCTAGGGTCTCTAAGGTTAATTGTTCCCTTGCATATACACCTTCTGATGAACCACTCCCAACATACTCTACACTATATGGACACTCACTATTCATCACATCACATTGGTTACATTCACTGCATGTTAAGCTAGCATATGTGGAGGATTTTGAAGGGTCAAATATTGGAACAGATTGCTGGGAACAAGATGTGCAAGGATGACACATGACCCATGTAAGGCTGCTGCCAGTGTCCATGACAGCAAGTTGTGGAATAGGTGGTTCACCTATGGAGAAATTCATCAAGAACACAACCTTTCTGGGGCTAGGAACAAGATTGGATATATACTCATTACTAGAAGCTTGCTTTATTATTTTGTGTGAGTAAAGATTCTTAATGGCGTCTTTTGAATTATAGGGAGATAATGTTGATGATTCATAGTGTATGAGATTAATCACTAGGTTACCAGAGGCTGTTGTGGTGGCGGTGGTTAAGGTAAAATGAAATATGAAAGGCAATGAAACCAGTGCTGTTGCCATGACTACAATTTCTTGAGAAAGTTTCAAATCCATTTATATGAAGAAATTCGCCTGCTTTGACTAGTAGTGACTATTAGCTTATGACTCCTTACGTGAAAACATATTTTGCATGGGACAAAATCCAATCCGGTTTAGAATGCATGATACCACGAACTATTTTTATATGACTCAAAAGGTTAGTTACAGAATTCTTTTCGCATTGAATCGATTTCGTTTGACTGCACTTGTTTGAACTTCATTAAATATGAGCTTTAACAAGTTGACACTAAATAATAAGTGAGATTGATGCCCAAACTTGATGAAGAACTTATACATGAGAATTTAGAATCTTGCAGTTTTTCAAACATAATTGTGAGTGTTCGAAATTGATCTCAGGACGAGAGACAATTTGAAATGAAATTTTCTTCCGATTGATCAAAACTGTAACAGGCAATTCGATTTTAAATTATAACAAATAAAATTCCAACGAACAACTTATCAGTAAATCAGAGTGGCGCAGCGGAAGCGTGGTGGGCCCATAACCCACAGGTCCCAGGATCGAAACCTGGCTCTGATAAAGAGTGGCTTCCGAGTGGTGCGGTTTTTTAACTTTTCTTGAAAACACGAAGATATTTACGAAATAATAAAAAATAACTCGTTAAATCTTCTTTGGTTCTCTTAAATAAACGAAGATATTTATAAAACAAGTGTTCATTTTTTCTGAAAGAACGAAGATTTTTACGAAACAATTCATATATGACACTGGATCAGATGTTCTTATAATAAAAAAGATAACTCGTTAAAACATTTTCACATTTTTCTTTAAAAAACGAGGATATTTACGAAACAATTAAAATATGCTGTTGAATGTTCTTATAATAACAAAAAAAAAAAAAAACTCGTAATTTTGTGCCTATGATTATCATCAAGGTAGCGTCTGGTATATTCATATTTTGTTTTAATTTTAATAAGAAAATAATTAAATTATTTTATAAAAATAAAATTAATAGAAAGTACTGTTATGTAACCCCAAGCGTGTGGTTCAGCGGTAGGAGTTGATCCACGCTTAAGCAAGGTCAGGAGTTCGAATCCTGCCTTGTGTATGCAGCCGTGTTAAATCTTGGGGCCAGCTATCCCACCCTTTGAGGTGCCTCCAACGTAGCGAGGAGATTAGTCACTGGAGTGGATACTCCAGGAACGAACCTAAAAAAAATAATTTACTAATTAATACCTTAATGATTTTTAAATAATTAAATAATAAAATGTATTTAAAGAGTCTAATGTTAAATATATTAAAAAATAAAATAAAATATTTTAATTTTAAAAAAAAAAATTATAATAAATATACTTAGCATTTTTTATTCTCAAATTTAATTATTTAAAAATTCTTTATATAGTTATGCTAAATGAGCTAAGAGCATATTCAATTAGAGATTATAAATTGCATAAAATAAAATATTATTATAACATCTAATATGTGATTTTAGATTGTTTATTGGAATGATTCAACATGTTTATATATTTTACACTTAAATAATTAAAACAACGAAAAAACATAAATATAATTACATAAGGTTACATATAAACAATTTCTGCGTATACATGTAGCAATATATATATATATATATATATATATATATATAAACTTCATCAATTGAAATCATAAATGCAAGTCCCTCGATGGGACTACAACTACAAACTATACATATATTTATATACAATAATTCTTGACATAAAACATAAACATAAGTTGTCGATCAAGTAATAAAAAAATAGCTACACTAGAGTAACTCAAGCAATTCTGACATCCTCTAAGATGGCTTCCAAAACTAGCTAATCCTTCTGCTTAATCTAACTCTACTCTCATAACAAGTATAATCTTCACAATTCAACTACAAAAAACATGTAAATGTGAGCTTACAGAAAACAACATAATAAGTATAGAGGTAAAGTTCAACTATACTACCAACATCAACATATAACTCACACCATACAACACATACAGGTTTTTCAACTTAAACAACACAACAACAAATACAACATACCATTTATCAACACATCTTATGTACAACACAACAACTTAAGCAACATTACCACATATCAATACATATCAACTTTACAATTTATCAACACTACAACACAATGCATCTTCACACATTTCAATTAACATATCTCTTACTACACATTTGAGTAATCTAATTCGTTTGACTCTTTCGAACCAACTTAACAACATAATCTTTCTAGACTAACTAGATTAACAACAAATTTGGATAAAAATTCACAATACAATATAGTTTCTCAGATTTTTTCACTTAAACTAGCAAAGTCCATATTCCTATCAAGGTTAGGACAACATGAGTGTGAGCCTACCACAATCTTAACATGAATAGTTAAGCCTATTATAGAATTAGTCTGTCGACTATCCTTCAAATACTTCACTCTTTTCAATACTTAGTTAGAGTTTTTCGCATTCAACCTTGTACCCTACTCGATTTGATCACTTTATACATGTATAGCTCGACATTTCTCCTATGTGGATCTATATTTGGTCACTTATAATTAGTATGGTTTGACCTAACCCTCATACTGTATTAATTAAGGTCCTAGAAAAGACTCAATACATTGCTTCAAGAGTCTATTTCTCAAAAAAGATTTTCAACAACCACGCACATAGAAAATCACAATACCATATCCTTGCAATGGGATATTCATATTTTTAAAACAAAAATTTCTCCTATAATTCTAAGTCAATCAACACAACTCAATTTCATGTATTAAGCATTATCAACATAGCTATTATCCATACTATTCAACATGCAACTCTATTACAATTCAACTCTCAATAACTTACAACTTTAAGAAACTTAATTATCAACATAGACCATCCTAGATTAATATTCAATGAACTAGAATCATAAAACATGTGAGTAACTCAAACTAACATTCACTTGTTCAACACTAAGTCAAATAAACAACACATTTTCATTTAGCATCTAGAACCTGACATCATTCTTCTCGCATCCAACACCATTGAGGTAGAGAGCATCTGACTCGCCCATACCTAATGCCAATCTACCTATGCCCAACATGAATGAGGTAGATAGTCTTTTTGTCAATCATGCCTAACTTGGCTAAAACCACGTTCAACCTCATTTAGGAAAAGAGTTTTTGCTTGAATCACGTCCAACGTAACAACATTGGCATCCAACGTCACAACATTGGCATCCAACGTCGCCTAGGCAGGGTGCTACTACCTTGATCACGCCAAGCATCACTCAACTAGATCCCAACGTCACCAAGTCAAAGAGTTCCAAGGGCATGGATGCCCGACGCCTCTCAAACCACACTCGACGCCATGAAGTTGCTCTCGACGCGATACTAATTTTCGCACTTGGCAGAAAAATATTTTGGCCCAATTCTCTTGAAACTCAGAAAAATCTCAACATGCAAGGCACCAAATATCATCTACACATTACTACCAATTCATTTCCATCAAGAATTTCACAACTAATAAACAACTAAACAAAACAACATTTAAAATTAATAAAATTAATAATTAATAATAAAAATGTACAGTATTAGATTTTAAATTAAAGAGAGTTGTTTATATAAATAATCATTCATCATGCATTGCTTAACATTTCATGTATGTAGGAGTTAGAGAGAATAAGATATTGGAAAGAGGGAATTTTATTTATTTATATATATATATATAATTCTACATTTGAGACAAAATTATGTGAATTTCTTAAAATCGAGTTAGCATATATAAACCCACTTAAAAAGGTAAAGTGAATTTTTTATTTAAAGAATATCGAGTTAGCATCACAAAAAGGCTGAAAATTCCGATATTATTTATATTCAACCTTTATTGATAGCACTTATTTATCACAAACAGGAGCCCTTAATAATCATACCACTTATATAATTTGAAAATTGAAACTTTGGACTAAGGACATTATAGAGTTTGACAAAGTTAACCACACTCATAAAACTATGCCTCCAAATTCTACCAAACTTTGATAATCACATTTTTTCGAGAAAATATTGAGCATGTTCAACTCTGATTTGGGTTGCGCAAGACAATTAACCACATGATAAACCATTTTAGCCAACAATTTACATACACAGAACACAGCCACAAATTTGAATGAAAAAGGCATATTGTTGGTAAGTAAACTATTGGTTTAATCCATTTATCATACGGTTAAATTTCTTGCGAGACCCAAATTATTAATATTTTTAACGTACTTCCCTTACATAGTGGGGAAGGAAGGTTAAATTAAATTCTCACATGTACTATATATAGATATCTATAGGGAATTTGAAATCATTGTTTCCTTCAAGTATCGCATTCATGTTGGCAGCTCTGAAAGCTTAATTGTAGCATGCAATTCCTCAATATTTTGCCACGCATGGTGCACTAACAACAATATTTTGCCACTCATGGTACTTTATCCAATTCCAAGGTCACAGTCAAAATATTGAACTCACGCTCTAAAGCCCAAGATAATTCATTTCGGACAATATTCTGAAAGTAGCCGTTATAAGTTATTATAGAAAATTGGAAAATAAATAAATTAGCTAACAAATAGATATCAGAACTGACATGAAACATGGGAAGAACGTAAATTATGAAGAGCATTTCTAGCAAGGGGGATTTCTTAATAACGGTTAAAAAATAGAAAGATGTTATTAAAGTAAAGGAATAGTACAAAAAGAAAAGAAAAATCCTTGACCAGGATACTGTCTGGGTTTTAAAGTCCTTTATCGAGAGCTGGATATTCTATTATTCCGAACTGATTGTGGTTACTTTTTGCATTAGGATCTCGTTGGATTTCTCGTTGCATGTCATTAGTTTTGTGCGCGTGCTTTTGCTCCATCGTACCATAAATAATCGTAACTAAATCACATTCTCCCAATTTAAACCCTCTCAATAATCATAATAAGCATCTATCATACTCTAACCATTCAAATCACTTGTTAAATAAAACCAATTACTTCATCTTAAGGAATACAGACCATTTAGCAGCAAATAAATTTCGTAAAAAGGTGTAGGGAGTCAAAGGAAATGAATAATAGAAAAAGGGAAAAAATTGCAATACTATACGAGTAACGAAGACAGTAAAGTAAAAGAACATACGAAAAGACACCAAATTGAGAAAAAGTGCAGCAAGCGTGGCCCTGCAAAGCATCAGATCGACAATGACCTCTAACAGCTCAAAAGCTCAGACTGTGACCATCACACACTGATATTTTCAAGTTTGAACACACATACTTGAACAAGACAACTGCGAGAGGACACTGCAATATGCATGCCCATCTTCATCTTCAGTCAAAACTGTCGAATATCATTCTGAGGAACACACTCGAGAGCAAAGAATCTGATGATGCTCTCTGTCCACCCTATACAAAGTCTAACGTGCGTATTGCGCACCCACCTACCCCATTTTCTACACTTAACAATATATTTTGCATCCAAATGCACAGGAACATGAGTACAACATCACCAGTGCTACTTAACTGTTTATTTACAATACAAACCGAAAATGACAACTTTTTAGAATATATATATACACATTTGATTTGATTATATACCATAGAATAACCCATTAACCAAAGCTAAATTAATTGAGATTTATGACAAAGAGAACTCCTTTCTGCTTTTCTATCTTGCTGTTTTCTTTTCCCCATTTCTTGTTTATCTAGGACCAGAGAGTTCCATGGCATAGGATTCCAAAGACTGTTCATCATCATCATCCATTGTCATGCCAAACATACTGGAACGATCATGAACATCATCATGTATAGAAGCAGAGTTAGGGCGGGATGTACTATTGCTGTTGTTGCCGTGGCTGGGGTTCATGTCGTGATTGCCATAATTATGTGATGATGCCCACTTCTCAGCAAGTCCATCCCCTTCAAGCATTCGGACAACTTCGGACATTTTAGGACGGTGGGCTGTCAAATATTGAGTACACAGTAAAGCGACTTGCAGCATCTCCCCCACTTCTATTCGATCATAATTGTTTCCTAGTTCTTTGTCCACCAACACCGCAAACTTCTTTTCATGTAGAATTTTCCTAACCTGTCACAACAAAGGGACGAATGAATTATTGATCTCCAGTATCTTAAAGTATGAACAATTATTTCAACCAACATTCAGATATCTATTCCAATGATGCGTACTAGCAGGTAGATCACCTGCCTACTGCCCTAGTATCAACAACTACCCAGCACTCACAGTAGCTTTTTTTGGAGGGAGCCTGGGGGGACCCGTGGGGTTTGGTTTACAGATAGCAACTATATTTACGGTATATCCCATTAATATCATACTAAACAGAAAAGTCCCTACTATAATTTAATAACTGCAGTACAGAAGTCATCCACTTATCAACAGGAATAACTAACATAATGGACCAGCCGTAGCACAATATATCTGACCATGTTTTTGAGTTATCAAGAGCAATTGGTTAAAACAGCCTGGCCTAATACAATGCACATACCAGAGGACAGATGTTGTCACTGGTTTCTAACACAATTGCTTCTCATGTCAAATCAGAAAACAAATCTACAACTCTTAGAAATATGATTTTCCTTTTCCCCCTTTTTCAATACTAGTATTCAATACATGAGTATCAAATACATAAATAACATTAAGACATCTTGGTACAAGCTGTAGCCCAGTGCAGATCATAACAAAATATTAAAAATATATATATATATTGTTCAAAGAAAAGTCATGCATGAGGAACTCCTAATGAAGAGCTAAATACTGAATAAGCTAAGATATTAGACTAACTACCAGATTATCACATCAAATATTTCAGAATGCAACAAAATGAACAAACAGTTTGCTTCGGTTGCAGAAAATAGACTTACCCACTCTAGCATAGCACCTTTTTGATTCACCGTTTTCCCAAACTCAAGTGCTGTCATTCCGGTTATGAGCTCTAACAAGAGAATGCCAAATCCAAATACATCTGTTTTCTCAGATGATTGCCCGGTGGAGAGATACTCTGGTGCTATGTGGCCAACAGTGCCACGGACAGCAGTAGTAACATGGGAATCAGCATGATCAAGGAGCTTTGCAAGTCCAAAATCACCAACAACAGCCTCACAATAGTCATCCAGAAGCACATTGGCGGCCTTTACATCTCTGTGTATTATCTTTGGATCACATTGTTCATGCAAATACAGAAGGCCTCTGGCAGCTCCAATTGCTATTCTCTTTCTTGTGTTCCAGTCTAGCGCTGGTTTGCCTATCATCACCCACAAAAAACATGATATTAAGCCACAAGGAAGGTGGAAGCATAAAGATTCAACTATGCATTATAAGAAACAGAACATTGAAGGTAAACAAAAAACAGTTGGCAGAACTCAGTCCGAAACAACTTTCTGACACTTCTCATTCTTTGTCTTTGTACTATTTAAAGTCAAAGAGATTGTCTTTATAGCTTCTCTTGCTAGTAGCCACAAAGAGAAACAAATAACAGCAAATCTATCATACTAACAAAATTAGGGACTCAATGCCTAAGATACATTTTTGAAAAACTGACAAAAAAGTAATCCAAATAGAGTTTAAATTTAATCAAGCAATGTCAGCACACCGAATTACCGACTACAGTTTGAGGGTGTACCCATAATTATCAGACTATTTCTATAGCTTATCATTCAAAACCATAACAATTTCATCACATCATTTAATAGATAGCATGAAGATTATAAATCCCACTGTCAAATTAGCATGATTACATGTTTTAACATTAAAAAAAAGTATACTCGACATGACAAGTGCAGATCACAACATTAAAACAGAGTCCAAGTGCGGCAAGACTAGGTAGATAACATTGCTGTTAATAAAATATATCACATGATATGATCACACACAGAAGGAGCACTGGAAATTAATTACCTCTAAGCCTGGAGGCCACACTGCCATTAGACATGTAAGGATAAACCAAAAGTTTTTCATTGGGAGTAGCACAATATCCGATTAAGCGAAGTAAATTGCGGTGAACTGCCAAGCTGATCATCTCCAACTCGGTTTGGAACTGAGATTCGCCGGCACTACCATTTACGTCTTTCAGCCTTTTCACCGCCACCATTGTGCCATCTCCAAGCTTACCCCTGTAGACATTGCCAAAGCCTCCAGCACCAAGTATATTCTTGGAGCTGAAATTATCCGTGGCATGTTGGAGCTCTCTGAAAGTAAAATGTTTAAGATTCCCCAAGCTAAGAACTCCCTCTTCCTTAAATTCTGCAATAACATCAAAACCATAAGTACAATTATCCTAATAATACCAAACCAGTACTATAAAGCCTAAGAACCAGCGTTACAGTGCTACCCACCACTGATATATAGGATGGCTCCATGCTGCCGTTTCTTTCTATACCAAAATAGCCCAAAAGACAGGAGGATGAGAGACGCACAACTAAGACTAACCCCAAGTGCTATTGCTAATTTCTTGGACCTGTGGTTTCCTAGAAAAAGAAATGTAATACACATTAAATTGTCGTGTAAAGAAATGATGAGGAACGAAGGTGGTAGAGGTTAAAAGGACGTACCTTGTGATGACACTTGTGAGAAAGAAAATGGAATGAGGGTTGCTGAGCCAGAGCAACCATCCGTAGTGCTACTTCCACAAACTAATGGGTTCCCCACAATACTACACAAACAGAAGTAACAGTGAATCAGGTGAAAAGCAGAGTAGAAACTTTGACATAATACAAGATCATTGTCCACACAACAAACGGAGGAGATTAAGAGACAACATACTTGAATGACCTGGCAGGGAACTTGGGCAATGGTCCACTGAGATTGTTATAAGACAAGTCCCTGAGCGCATATCAGTAATTCAGCAAATAGTAAGAAAGCCACAAGACAGTGACGTGTGAGCAGGTGGAAATATTGATATAACAAGACTCACAAGAAAGCAAGCTGTGGGGTTTTGGCCAATGACACGGGAAAGGATCCGGACAAATTATTGTTGTTGAGCCTCCTACGGACAAATAAACACAAGAGGATTTGAAGAAAAGAAGGAAGCAATTAGCAATAAGCAATAAGCAATTAGCAACAATATATAAAATAAAATAAAGTTAACAAGATAATTGTTAGCAAAGGAAGATTAAAATGAAGGAAAGAATAATTACGGACAGGTACTGAAGAGTATTCAATTGACTAAGAGATGCAGGGATGACCCCCGAGAATCGGTTGTTGGAAAGGTCTAGAGTCTGAAGGTTGGGAAGGGTTCCGAGTTGGGGTGGTATATTGCCTGAGATATTGTTGTTCTGCAGTAACCTGCATAATAGCATTGACAGAATAAAATGACAGTAAAATAGGAAAAGAGAAGAACTAAAGAGGTTAGAGTTACAGTTGTCGAAGATTGGTGAGATTTCCGATAGCTGGAGATAAAGTTCCGGAAAGAGACTGACTAGGCGCACCCCTGCAGAGAGAAAAAGAAAGAGAGAAGTGAGGAAGGAAATGCGGGAAAAGGGAGGGAGAGAGAGAGAGAGTAACTGACAGGCCTATGACAAGGTAATCGGAAGAGCAAGTGTTCATGGCCCGACTGCAAGCGTCGAC